ATTTGGCTTTTACTGCAGTGCAGTAGGTGTGACTGTCCTTTTTGATACAGCCTCTCAAGAGCTTAAAGGGAGGCAGCATGTTGTTAAAAAAAGCTTTTCTAAGTACCTCTTCTTTCAAAACAAAAGTAAAAGGTTTACTTAATAAGGGATAATTAATCATTGGTAATATGATAATGAATAAAGTTGACTTGTTCAATATCATTATCAGACTTGAAACTGGGCTGACATGTTGACAGCAGAGTTTGTGTTGAATACACCAAAGTATAGATGATTTCCCAGTCAACTTTATTCCCTTTTACATTTTTAAAATGTAAAAGATCAACAATTACAGTACTAAGAGCAGTACGGTAAACCTCTATGGTAAATATGAGGGGGGTTTCCAGATCCACTATGCTATAGAAGTAAAAAATATAGTTAAAAACATAAAGTCCGACTTCTAAGCTAGACTCATTAACTTAGCTATATGCATTCATCAAGGTTATGCTGAAAAAAACAATGCCATATTTGCATATGTAATAAATGTATGCCTAATTAAAAAATTAATGTAACTCATTTCGTGACATCTTGTGACAGTTGTTTCAATAAAATGAAGGGAATTACATTTTATTCTTTGGTGTTTACATTAGAGAATAGTGCATTGCCCTAATTAAAAATAATAAGTACCCATCAATTTAAGCAAAAATAAATGCATAACATTAAAAAATGAGAGGACCCACAGAAAAGCTTTTCACACACAATTTGTTTTTATTATAGCCTATTATTTTGGCAGTATACTAGTGTAAAATCTTTCTTTTTTTCAGATATGTTTACAACCTGGTGATTTAACCAGTTGTAGGCTATATTTTGTTTTCCGATGATCAGAATATGTCCTTTTTGTTGCCAAATAACAAAGTGTTTGTGATATAAATACTGTTTAACCCCTCTACAGAATGGACTGTAAGTAACTAGTTATAAGTCACTATACGTTTGTGTCTAAATATTCTTTGTCTTGGATGTAGAAGAAGTAAGAGCATGAGGTCTGAATAATTTACAATTATATATATCTTCAATTTGAAAAATTTGACTCTGCACTATCAGTATAGAGGATCGCATGGAGGAATTTGAGCAAAACATTCCCACAGCACATTTTTTATTTCCAAAACATTTTTTGAGTATCTACTTATGTTATCTGCTTAGGTTTGTTGCATGCATTATATAATGTTCTGTTTTAATCAGAAGAGTTTCACGTTTTGAGTGAAAAAAAGTACTAGAAAATTTAATTTTCATACCAGGCTGGGGTGAGGCAGGCAGCTCTCAGGAAATTAACTGAATCTTTCACCATGCCCTGTATTGTTAAGGAGCACAGCATCTAGAACTGCTATACAGGGCAAAAGCTGTTAAAAATATTTCTTCCAGGGTATATGCAAAAATAAAACTTTTACCCCTTTGCTAAAAGTAACTATGTGCTACAAATACAGGCTACATGCCAGAGTATCCCTGATTATACTTATTTCAGTCAGGAGAACCTTTTTCTAAATAAATCCATTCAGTGAATGTAACACCTATCACATACTGTACCACATCTGTGTACCTGCAGTGATACCATTATTAAATGGTGAGAGCAAGTTATATCCTTTATAGAGAAAATACAGGTGCACATGCAGTGATGCTGCTGTGTTGGGGGAGGAAGGGACACTTGACAGGACATTTCACGTGTCCCATCCTTTTACAAGACCTGTGATTCACAATGATGAGATATGACATGTCATTCCCCTGTTTTGTTTCTTATAATTAGCATGTATTTACTCACCTAATTAGAATATGTCATGATCAATCAGATTGCCCGAACAGCTCAGATGTCACAAAAATAGTAATTTCTGCTGAGTTGTTATTGTCAGTGGTGTTCGAATTAAACAAAGACATTGATGTCTCTGCCTGTGTAACGTTTTTCCATATTTTTCATGCAACTGGTTTGGGCAGTGACCTCCCATTTGTGAAATTCAAGATAAGCACAATGAGGCACATCCAAATACGATACATCTTTTCTTTTTTTTTTAACCGGGCAACCATGAGGGAACATTTGAATAACCTACAAATCCTTAAAATACCTTAGTCCTGGCATACTAAATATGTTAAAATGGGAAATAATAGGAAAAAGGCCAGACCTCCAAATGCTTCTGCTCATAGAGATGGTGGACTGAAAAATCAACCTTTTAAAAGATGCTAATCCTGTTGTTTCTTAAGCTTTACTATTGAAGGACCCACAATAACATCACATAAGCTCACTGCTTTCTCATGATCCATCTTTTTGGTACTGGGGCGTTTCTGGAGGTGGGGTCTCCCCCATACTGGATTGCATATAAGCACACAAATGAATAGCAAAATAAGACACTTGGGCACGCAGTGGAGATTCACACCTGTCTGTGCCCAGTGCAGTGATTCCCCATAACGACAATCATGATCAGCTTTGGGTTCCAACCCACAATTTAAGATTCCATGACTAAATAACATCAACAGATCATCTTTAAGTCTACAGGCTGTGCAGATCATTGGCAGAGATTAAATTAACAGAAACAGAGTGATTGGCAGGTAATTAGACAAGCAAGAAGTAAAAAAGCCTTTCCCAGGACAGGAAAATTGGATTCTTCAATTTATAACATAGATTGCACTTCTTCTGCAAAGTTTTGGTGATTGCCTGCCTTTAACACCTTCTCATATACTGAATCGAATTGTATTTCAATAGATTCTTGTGAGTACATTTTGCTATTGCTAAGAGTTATTTAATCTTTATGAACTGTGTGGGTGCTTTATTCAACAAGCTTTTTTATCCCTACAGTACCCTGCTGAAAAAGCATGCAGACAAAAACAATATCAAAAAGAACTCACTGATTGGAGCAATACAAGAGCAATGATTGTGGGCAAATCTTGAAAACAGCATCTTTTGCATATAGTCATGGGAACTTTTTATTCTAGATTTTTTCTGACATTTATGACATTTATGACAAACAGTGCTTGAGGAAAGCTCTAAGCATCATCAAAGACTCCACACATCCCAGCTACAGACTGTATGACCCTCTACCATCTGGAAAACGGTACCAGAGCATTCGGGCCCGGACTACCAGACTCAGAGACAGTTTTTACACCCGCACTATCAAACTATTAAACTCCCAGCCTCTCTCACTCTCACCTCACCTCTCACCTGTGATCTGAACCTCACAGTGCCTTCTTTCTTTCTTACCAAAAACTCTTTTGTTGTTTTGCACACTGCCTGTTGTCTCTGTCTTTCTTTTATTATAGAATTGTATTGTTGTTGTTGTTGTTGTTGTTGTTGTTGTTGTTGTTGTTGTTGTTGTTGTTGTTGTACTAGGTATCGTCTGAGAGCTAGCTAAATAGCATTTCATTATACCATATACCTGTATATGAGTATAATGATAATAAACTTGAACTTGAACTTGAACTTGAACTTTCTCCTGTACAAATTAACAAAGCACCCATCAATTGTGATTTGATGATTTTAAAATTACTAAAATAGTTTGGTAAATTAGGTTATACCCTTAGGGTTCCAAAATGATTGCACCTTGACACAGAAAAGAAATACCACTCTTTAAAGGACAAATAAGAATACATTTATATACTTTTTTACAGGAAACCTAAAAGAGGTTGTCATTACCTCTAAAAAAGAATAAAAGAATAAAAAGCAAATTCACCCAGCAGCAGCCTGGGATTTCAAAATTTGTTTTTGATGGAGTGTAACATTAACCTTATGTTTTACATACAAAAAAGCAGAAAGGCACACATACAGAAAAAAGAAATTTTCTGTCATTTCCACAGCCTGCGTTTATTTTTATGATTCATTATCAAGATGCCATTCTATGAATTTCAGAAAATAATTTACAAAGCCCTCATATCTTCCAGGTCTGAAATCATTTTAATACAGACAGTCTTAAACATTTTCCTCCATTTTTTCTTTCTCAAACAGAAATAGTAAAAGAAAGAAAAACTTCAGAAAGAATTCCATTTTCGATCACTTTTATTAAACACAGCATCAACTCGAAGATGAGTCCTTGTTAATATATGTGACTCAAAACAGGATAATAACTTATGATTGTGGTTTTAGTGAACTACTTTGATCTCAGTCTTTTCACAATTTCTCTAACACCTGCCAGTATAACTGTCTCTGGCACAGCTTGTCATGGTTTATAAATGCAGCTGGAACATTCAACCTTTAGGTCTAAGATCACAGAGAAGCATCACATTTATAAGATCAGAGGATTTTTTCTCCAGAGTTTTGCTCTTATTATCTGGTAACTAGGAGGTGGTCATTTCCTTGCAAGATATTTTGTATGGGCTTCGAATATGTTTTATTATTAATAAAGTAAATGATGGCATAATAAATGTTCAACAGAAGGCACTTAGCTTTCCAAAACGGATTGAACAGAATTTTAAGGTTTGGTATGTATCTAAAAAATATACCAAGACTATTACTCGGAGTTAATAATGGTAGGTCAAAACACAAAATATTATGCAGAGCCAAGAGACAGCCTTCATACTGTATTAAATGGCAAAGGAAACAAGTGCATCTGCCATGGCATTTAATTAGAAGAATCAGAAGCTGTGATAAAAATCTTTTTTTTTTCAGTTTATAAGTCATCCCCTGCTAAGGATTTGAAAGGTATTCACAAACAACACACCAGAGTCAATTAATGTATCAGATTTTTGTGAAACTAATAGACATGCTCTGAATTGTTAATGTAAGGATTTGGCAGAGAAGCATATTGTAATGGTTAAGAACGTTAGGAAGCAATACACGTTTATAAACTGATCAAAACTATATAGTTTCAATCTTGTTCGTTTTCCTCTTTTTACATTTCAGTTCTTCAGACGTGCTGTTGATTGATGTAAAACGCTTGTTGTTACAACCCGTGTTCAGGGACTGCACCTCTAAGAGAAAGCTTATTTCTGTAAGCGTAGAACTCACCCACTCACTCTGAAAGCCTCAAAATCAACCCACAATACGCAGGCGTCCTTGCCTGTATAAAAGATGCTCGGTTTCTACAAGGTCTCAGACTTCCACTGTTACCCCACAGCGTCCGACAAACCCCTTTTACGCATTGCCATTTACGCGCTGGTGTTGTCCCTTACTATAGATTTAATACCGGCTTCTATTTCTTGCTTAAGAATGAAATTTTGCCAACGACCGCAACAATGCAATCCGCGTTTTATTCTACATCTTTAAACTACGAAACAACGACACCTGCTAAACTAAGTATGGAATCGGACGTTTTGCTGATGAATGACACCCTCGTTCCCCTGGGAAATGTCTCTGCAAAGGATTTGGAGAACACACGGGCTCTCTACCATGGACAGTTCTCTCCATCCGTCTCTGTGTTTTTGGCAGTACTGATGACTCTTCTCGTCTTCGCCACAGTCCTTGGCAATGCACTCGTAATCCTCGCATTTGCTGTGGAGAAAAGTTTGCGAACTCAAGGCAACTTTTTCTTCCTTAATTTAGCTATAGCTGACTTTCTCGTGGGTGAGTATTGCAATTTTCAATATTATCAAAATGTTTTTTTTTTCATTCTAAGAATTTTTCACTGACGTGTCAACTTGCACGAAAACGCACATTACTTAAAAAAATAAGCGTGTACCATTTTAATATTCGTCATTCATCAACGCATTGTTGTTGTCAAGGAATATCAAGCGATAGAGTTTCTTTTGTGAATTGTCTCTTCAGGTGGCTTTTGCATTCCAGTCTATATTCCGTATGTTCTGACTGGTGAATGGAAACTTGGACGAGGTCTTTGTAAACTGTGGCTCGTGGTGGACTACATGCTCTGCTCGGCGTCTGTGTTCAACATTGTCCTCATCAGCTTCGACCGATTTATTTCAGTCACCAGAGCGGTAAGAAAACCGCAAAAGCTCAAGACTTAGCATTGCTTGTGTGTTCCTCCATTTCAGAGTAAAAACTTAGAACATATGTATAATAATATTGTACTCTTCCTAATACATGGGCTATACAAGATGCAGTGCTCCTTTCTATACATATATATAAAAACACATACTGGCACTGAAGCATAAGAAGCTTTAAAATGTTGTATTTCAGTGCTAAAGTTTATATCTGTAAGATTGCTACTATACTGCTCAAGAAGCTATATTATTTTGAATGCTGTGATGGTCATTTTTAGTGTGGTATTATTATTTACTAGCTGTTTGTTCTCCTGTTCATGTTCAAAACAGATATTTTAACAGTTTGTTCTGGACGTGATCTGCATTGGTATTCTACAATACAAATGCAGGAAACACATTTTAATGGCTTTCACTCAGTTCTGTTAAATTATACAATCATTTCTTTAAAGACTTTTGGTTGATGTTACCTGTTTGCATTCCCTTTCCTATCAGGTGAGCTACAGGTGTCAGAAAGGGATCACGCGAGACATAGTGCTGAAGATGGCCAGTGTGTGGCTGGCTGCCTTTCTGCTTTATGGCCCGGCCATTATCAGCTGGGAGCACATTGCTGGGAAGAGCATTGTACCAGAGGGCGAGTGCTACGCTGAATTTTATTTCAACTGGTATTTTCTTATGACAGCCTCAACAGTGGAGTTTTTCACACCCTTCATAAGTGTAACATACTTCAACCTCAGCATCTACATCAATATCAGGAAGCGCAACCTCATGAGGAACGATCACCTGACAGCAGGGCCAGGAGACTGTGAAATGGAATTTCAAGGCAGTAGCAAGAAACGGCAGGTGTTTTTTGTCAGGCCTGCAGCTGGAAGGAGTGAGGGGAGGAAAACCAAGAGCTGTCAGGTTGCCAGTGCCAAAGTGTCAGTGGGAGAGAGCAGTGCTAAGAAAATCGATTGTCAGTCCATAGACTTGCCACCTTTACAAATGGAAGACCTAATCCAACAACATGGTGACAGCTGTTACAAACCTGTAGAACAGTTTTATGGAACACAGCGCAGGTCTGATGTGGCCACTAGCATTGCAAGTCGCTTTAGGCTTTCCAGGGATAAAAAGGTGGCCAAGTCTTTAGCAGTGATCGTCTGTGTGTTCGGTTTATGCTGGGCTCCTTATACCCTGCTTATGATCATCCGGGCTGCCTGTCATGGCCAGTGTGTGCAACACTATCTCTATGAGATCTCGTTCTGGCTTTTGTGGATTAACTCCTCCATCAATCCTGTTCTGTACCCACTGTGTCACATGAGTTTCAGAAAAGCATTTATGAAATTGCTCTGTCCCAGAAAAATAAAAATCCAGCCTCACTATTTTGAGCAGAAGTGCTAAAAAGACCCAAATTTTTTTACTGTGATTGTTTTCTTCGGCACAATGGTAAAGTGGTAGAGGGAATCAAATCAAAATCCTGCTGTTTGTATTTATACATGTGCACTGAGTTATGTAAGATGTGTATCCTGAATGGTAGTTTTTCTATGTTTGAAAAAAAATAACTTGGATTGTGTATAAGCATAGCAGTTACATACAGTACATACATGTTTAAATTAAAGTAAATTTATGTAGTTTTGTGCAATTAAAATGTTTGTATTTTTCATTGTCATGTGACATTTGTTTAATTTTCCTAACATTGGTATTTGCATAGATACCGCCTTGTTGCAAGATGTAAGGGGGAATCATAGTTCCATTGCGAGACTGAAAATTTACAGTGGTGTGAAAAAGTAAGTACACCCCATGAAAAGGTTTGTCTTTTTTTACATTTCTGGACAAAATGATATTCGATCGTCTTTACAACAATACCGTTAGATAAAGGTGATCTAATTTTAAAAAATAACATTGAAAAATCACATTTTGCACTCATTTGTACTATGTAAATCAACAGAAATGCAATTTCCTTGTGGGGGAAAAGTTAGTACACCCCTACCTTTATCATTGCATCAAATGCCTAAAATTAGAATCAGGTGCATCAAAACAGGTGCAAATGTTTAGAACATCTTTAGAGAGTAATGTAAGGGCACTGCCTTGTATAAACATCAGAAAGGTTTGGTCTTAGCAATTGAGGTGTGTGGCTACATCATGCCAAGATCAAAAGACCTCTCTGAGGCCCTCAGAAGAAATATTGTTGATGCCAGTGTGTCTGGGAAGGGTTTTAAAGCCATTTCCAAGCAATGTGTAGCCAATCACTCCACTGTCCAAAAGATCATCTACAAATGGAGAAAATTTCAAGCCACTGGCAATCTATCCAGGCCAGGTTGTCTCACCAAATGCAGACCAAGAACCCCACGATAACATCAAGGGATTTACAGGCAAGTCTTGCCTCAGTCAGTGGCAAAGTACATGAGTCAACCATCCGAAAGAGACTGCACAACTTTGCCCTACTGTACATGTGAGGTTAGGAAGGAAGAAGCCTCTGCTCTAAAAAAAATATATAGATGCACAACTGAAGTTTGCCAGACAACACCTTGATGAAGATCAGGACTATTGGAACAATGTTCTCTGGATGGATGAGACAAAGTTAGAGCCGTTTGGCCACAATGCCAGACGTCATATTTGCGAAAACCAAAAACTGCCTTTGACCAAAAGAACCACATACCAACTGTAAAGCATGGTGGTGGAAGCATCATGATTTGGGGCTGCTTTTCTGCCTTAAGGCCTGGCCACCTTGCCATCATAGTCAACCATGAATCCCACATTGTACCAGAGAGTACTAGAGGAGCACATGAGGCCATCTGTCAAAGAGCTGAAGCTGAACTGTAAGTGGACCTCACAACAAGACAATGACCCAAAACACTCAAGCAAATCCACAAAAGAAGAAATGTAGGGCTATGGAATGGCCAAGTCAAATCCCATGGAAATCTGTGGGGGGGCTTGAAGCGAGCAGTACATGAAAGCCCTCAAACATCACACAGTTGAAGGAGTTCTGTTAGGAGAAGTGGGCAAAAATTTATCCAAGTCGATGTGGAGACTGATGGACAATTACAAGAAACGCCCACAAGAAGTGATTTCTGCCAAAGGGGGCAACACCAGCTATTGAAGCTAGGGGGTTTTCCTATTTTTTCCACAGCATACAACTGCATTTCAATTTTTTTTGTTGAATAAATGATTGCAAAGAATCATTTAAATTGTTATTTGTTAAATTAGATCACCTTTATCTATCAATATTGTTGAAATGAAGATCAAATATCCATACATGCAAATATGTTGAAAAACACACACCTTTTCATGGGGTGTACTTACTTTTTCACAGCACTGTATTCATAGTTGAGACAGCTCAACTGTGTTTCATGTTTCTTCAGTCTTCTAATAACACTCTTTGTTATCTGCGAGGAGTTTTAGTGGTCTTTTTAAAATCCCTTTGGCTAATCCTCATACTGTGGCATCATCTGCAAAACTGAATTGTTTAATAAATGTACCAGATTCCAGATTACCAATCCAAATTATGAGTGGTTCCACAATAGATCCCTGTGGAACCCCATTAATTTCATCACAGAATTTGACCATTCACCACCCCGTATTGATATATATGTATACTATAATTTAGGATGATTACTAACGTTTTTGGAGATGTTCACCTGTTTTTTTCCCGTTTTAGAAGCCGTAGCTCATGTTATGTTTACAATTTGACAATAAAAAGTATTACATTGAGAGAGTTGTTAAAAGAAACGTCTCAGAATTACGTGAGAGGATGTATTATACTTTAGTCCTTAAATTTGTGGAAGTATATTGACTTGAGCCATGTAATCAAACCAATCGAACCCCCCCCCCCAACAAGTGCTGCAAACAAAATCAGTTTCTAGGCAACTGGTGGTCAGCATCTGACTACATAACATGATCCTTTACAGAAGATGAAGAGTCATGCTGTTACCAAATGCTATCTTATTAAACATCACTGTAAAAAAAAATCTTTCTACCCAGATTATTGTAATTAAGATTTGCCTATAACTGCAATTTTAAAAAATGTCAAAATTTTGTCATTTATAGGAGAAAATTTTAGAAGACTTTTGTTAAAACCAGATATTAAATATATTATTAGATATTTTGAAAAAAATATTTTCTCATTTTATCAGTATGGACAGAATAAATGTGTTTTGTATGATTTAAGAACAAAGAAATTAAACTATAGACATCCACTGAATTGATATACATCTTAGGGCTTAAAATCTGCTTCTTTGCAGCTTTGCAATTTTTGGCTTCTGAACAAATTAAGCATTATTGTTGGGTAATTTAGTGTTGTGCCATTGAAGTTTGGTAGGGTAAATGTGGCCAGGGTATCCTTAGTGAATACGCACAAGCATATCGCATCACAGGTCAGGGACTTAAAGGCCACACAGGTTACCCAGTAAGGGCTTATTAATCCTCCACCCTCCAAAAAAGCCTTCCATTTAGTATTCCTGTTCATACCATTGAACAGAAATAGGTGGCTCAATACTCACTGCAAAGGATTACAAAGTTGTCTTAATTTTTCCAGAAACCATTGAAAAAATTTGTATATTACAAATTCATGGAAATAAAAAAAAGTATTGTGTTCATAATTTTGTGCTAATGTTTATGTACTATATGGGAATATTATTTTATATATTGTCATTTTTTGTAAATTAACTGCCTGGAAGAATAAAGTTTGTCATTTGATATTTTTTCCCACAAACAAGTGAATATGGATAAGATTTTACTTAAACATTTCTACCTTGGTTTACAATTTTTTGTTAACCTGAAATACTAATCTTTTCAAAAATAAAGAGACTACATGAATTGAAAACTGGTTTTGTCTCTGAAATACATACTAAGCATCAAAAGAAACATTTAAGCATATACAGTATACCTTTTGCAGAATAAAGAGTTTGTTACTTTATTACTAAATCACAGAATTAGTGGAGGGATGTATTGAGCATAGGTGATGAAATGAATTTAGCTCTGTCAAGCCTGGTGAAAATAAAGATTGAAAAACACAGGAAAAAAACAATATGCCCCAAGAGAAAAACAGCTTTTTGCTACTGGCTTGTTGGAGGCTGGACTCTTAATCTCTACCTAGGGTTTTCACAGCCATCAATTTCTAACATGACATTACATCCAAACACAGTCCAACAATGAACTATGAATCACAACACCGCGCCATGTAATACAGTATAGGAAGATCCAGAGTGATGCTCAGTGGGTTTTGGAGCTAGCAACTTCTAAGATAGTAGGACACTACAGACATCATTAACATACCTCAATCTGGGACAGTGTGAGTCACAACATGTCACTAAGATTGACATATTACCATGCACCATCTTTGGGACTGTTTTCACACTGCCAGTTCCACTGTTTCACAAACACCACATTGCAACAACCCACACACCACTTTAAAGGCAACTAAACAGTCATCTTTCGCAGACCAGATGACCACACGGGGGCTCAGTGCTCTCCAGTGTTCACTGACACAACAGAATGAGGTGGTGTGAGTAACACTTCAGGTGAATTCTAGCCAGCAGTTGCTCAAAGTCCTCTCGTTTGTGAGGAACCAAGAATGTGTACAGATCACCTGTGGTGTGCTTGCTGCTGTCCATCAGGATGTGCTGAAAGATATGTTACATTGTATGACAAATCAGTCAACAGGTAGATGTCTAATTGCTACAGATCTTCACTTGTAATGATTGATGACTACCTGTCTGTTAGGAACTACAATAATCAAGTTCTAGTACCTCCTTGCTCAATCTCTTGATGGCTCATTCAAGCACACAACATTCTAGTAGGAACACAGACGTCCTACTAGAACATCTACTGTGCATCTAGTACAATGAATAGGTACTGTACATTTTTGTCCAGGCTCTGTAAAATAAATGGGACAGACTTTCACGAGACTGTATTTGCAAAGTGTTGCAAAGCTTTACAGCTTGCAATACAACTTGTGTTGCTTCCATTAGCAGCCACACATGCTAATAGCCTGTGACAGCACTGCAGATTCCCTGTTGGTGACAAATGTTTATATACAAAATTAATGTATCCATTGATGTCTATTTAATAAGATGTCTATTTAATAAAATGTCAAGAAAAACATCATTCATTTACTATCATCTTCCTGATAGTAGTTATTTGTTAGTTTTAAATTACTTAGAATTTGTTGTAAGACATGTTACTTTTGATACTCAGTATAATCCTGGGAGATTACCTGACTGTACCAGATTGGTGATGAATATCTGAAGAGGTACCCACAACCTTGAAACACCAATATGTCACATGAGGAAGCTAAACATGAGCACAGAAGTTCACTCAACATGACTGGACTGTATAGTAAACAATCTATCTCCAGGGAAAACACCTGCTCAACCTGTCAGAGAGCCAAAGAATATGGAATGCCATTTTGGCCTTATTAGTCACCTTTGGCTTCATCCTTGACAGTATGGGATAGTTAGTGAATGAATCTAGCAAATCACTTAAAAGAATGGTTATGCAGAGGACCATCATAGTCCAACTTAAAAGAGCCACAAAATTGGACTTAATTTCTTATTAACATTGTAGATTTTACACACATTACACCTCTTCATATATCATTATGTAATCATAAAACATTATGACTGAATTAGTACTTCAGCAAAATTAGTCAGGATAACAGTTAACTGAAAATACTGTGAGTCCTTTGTAACTCTGGAAGTATAAAACTTTTACCAATAATTGGTTCTAATTAATACAAAGTGAGAAATAAAATTCAGCAGGATGACTTGCTGTTCAATAATATGGTTAATTGTAATTTATTGTTTAATTGTGCAAATAATGTGATATCCATGATGTATTTTTACTGATTTACAACAAGGTTATACATACATTATAGAAGAAAAATCCAGATTGAAAATAAACTCAAACAAAAACATTCATATTTTGTTTCTTGGATCAAAGTTGACCATAACATGTTGTGACCAATGTCTAGCTTGTATATTCACTCATATGTACCATACATAGGTCTTATAGCACAAATCTGTTTTTCTTTTTTTTACGTTTCCATACATACATGCATTAATGTACTTTAACCTGGACAACATACTTGTCTGCTTTAAGTGAAGAATGCAATGAGAATCCCAAGAAAAAGTTGTCCCAAGAACATTTATATTCTGCAGTTGTCGCTGTTCCACAAAGTAACACTAAAATGTGCATCTGCTGCCACTTTGGAACACAACAATACAGGACAAATAAGACATACAGAAGCAAGAATACATAACACAAATGAAGTCATTAGATTAGAATGTTAACCTTCCACAAACTGGGGTGAACATCACAGGCAAACCTGTGAATCTGTGAATCTCGCTAAATACATGAAACCAGAATATTCTGCAATTAGTTTGCCTCAATGAGGATTGGGGTGGGGAGTAGCAGGGGGGCACTGGTTTCAACCTGCAGTTTTAACAGTAAATGGAGAAATGCGAGAGAAGTGCTAGGCCAAAGGACAATGGGAGCCTTGTGTTCCTTACACCTTTTAAAGGCACTCTCTACAAAAATCTAACACTAAAATGTAGTAGGTCAAAATAAAGAAAACCAAACCCAAAAAAATGGGGCAGATAAGGGGAGGAATTTAGCCACTGGATGGAATAGTTAGTGCACTGTGCCCTCTACAGAACAAGACCTTCATAATTTGGTCCATCAGCTTCAGGAGACTCTTTCCGCAGGCGCAAATGCTCCAGTGTGTTGTGAAAGTGTTTGTTAATTTGCTCTGTTTCCTCGCTTGCCTCTAGGTTTGGAAGATCTTCTCTTATCTTCTGGATGAGTTGGTTGAGGACTTGCACGGTGACCTGAAAAATCCATGTCAGATAACATATATTTGCACTATTTTTGTTGACCACATTTTCTTAAGTTCCTTAAGTTCAAAGATGACTGCATATAGACCATTATTTAATAAGACTTAACGCAAAACCACCCATCTTTGTATGATTTATTTTCTACAAAATGGAACAAACCTACGATAATTTTATTTAATAGAACTTGTTGACACACCATCGATGACAACAAAATACTCCACTGCATGTGTTTTACAATGCACTTTACCCAGTAGCACATGGTTAAGATCAACTGCTACTATCCTAATGACATTCATAGGTGCCAGTATGGGTTTCTGTTGGGTAAAGATCAATCAGTCTAAGATCTATTATCAACATTCCCTGACTATTACAAAACAAAAAGATCAAGACCAAACTCCATATTACATACCAAAATAAACAACTACACAGAACAAAAAACTCTGTACAACAGCTTTGCTCCGATTAAATGTTTCTCCCTGTTCCTTAAAGAGTAAGTTATCAAAGCGGCAGAATCACACAACTGCAGAAAAAAAACGAATATTTTTAATATCCCATAAGAAAATAGTAAATAAAATATGTAAGTCTTACCGCATCATTTTCTTTTTCGAAGAAAAAGATGTATCTGTTTAGGATTTCGATAAAGAGCTGGACCTGCAATGATGGGTCCATGCACTGATTGGCTATCTTTAGGGCTTTCTTCAAACACTCCATTACTCTCTTCCCATCATGAATCTGAAAACCAATGATGTTTAATATATATATACACATAAACATGGTTACTTTATTTAAATAATTGGCATGAAATCTATCTTAAGAACCACTGAAATGTTATTTGTTGGTTCTTGTTAGCTGGTGAGACTGAAATATATACTAAAGGATACATCAGACCAATATCTATCCAAATAATTAAACATATATTTCAAGGGATGGAATCAAGTGGAAAGTCCAGCAACTATGCCCTCTTTGCCTTTATAGTATTAAAATGTCTCCATGCTTTTGTTTAGACACCTTTTTACACTTTTTCCTATCCTTCAGTACTCTGAATTTCACGAGCCATGAGAATTCGAACAGCACTCAAATCATTCAAAGCAGTGCTAGTCAAATTAAAAAATTTTCTAAGTATTATTCCTTATTATTTATAATTAGCATTTTTCACAGCTTTAAGAAATGTTACTGAAAAACATTTTGAAAGAATCCTAAGTTGCGTAATTCAAAAACTAAAAGCGAGAAATCTTTGCTTTTACTAAAATATTACACTATATTAAAGATCACATAATGTGCTACACATAACAGAGAAGCTAAAAATAAAAAGGCACGAATGCCAAACAAAACCATTGTGTATTCTATACCCATCAGCTTGACTTTCAGCCACCGAAGGCTGTGTTTACGAAGTACTAATGTATCACATACTCTTTAATTTTACTAGTTTCCACATAAAACTAAATAATATTCATATGGTGCATAAAAGCAAACAATTAATCGCATACCTCTTCTCCATTCTTATCTGTGTTTCTGCCAGACCAGAAGAGATGTGCACAGATGCTGACAGCGCGACATTGGTCTGGTTTCTTCAGGAGTTTGGAAGCTGCCAGTGCACACTGTGTCCTCAAAGGTTCATGATTCTCTTCACTGAAACATTTCATCCTTTCAAATGTTCCAATTATTAAAGTGATTGCTGCTAGCTGTGCCTTAGAATCACTGATTTCATCCTCGTAAAGGGAAAAGGCCTGAAAAACATTAATGTGTTCCAATATTACATCTCTGCTTTCTTGGATTAATTCACACTAATCTAACGTTTTCCACACTTTTCCGATTTCTGATGATTCCCGATTCAGTGCAATTAGCATTTACAATTATACAAAAAAAAGGTAATACTAATACAAAATAAAATTATTTTATATATACATTATATCCAGATGGGTAAAAGCATTTACCCATCTTAATGTATTTTGAGAGCACCCATACTGATCTGAAACTTTTAGCATAGATGGTGCGGAAGACTTCTTTACTGGGAAGGTTAAACGTAGCCTGGCTCAGTGCTGAATTCCGTATCACTGCCAGAAATAACATGAATTAAGCATGTCGTGCTTGCCCTTCAGGTTTACCTGTGACATGAACTCGTATGCCACAGTTTCATGGTTCTCAAAGCCAATTTCCCCGGCTGCCAGTGCCCCCTGTAAGAACAGCCGAAGGGGCAGTTCAGCCAGCTCAGCCTTGATCAGTGCACTGATGGTCTGGTGGGCGAAGGAAAAAATCTTCTGACACTTCTTCTCCCACTTGTCATCCTGAGTGGAACAAATAACAAAAATGAACAGACAACCCATCTACTCCCTCTTCACTCTATCTTATTTCATGGGGGGGGGGGGGGGGGGCAAAATTGCATTACTTCAAAATTACATTGTTCATGTATTTTTATATCTGCATATCAAGGTATTTGAAAGCATTTATCAATGGTGATGGTGATAGCATCCTACACAAAAAAGTTAAGCTTCTAATAGAGAGAGAATGAAAAAAAACATTAATACAAATGGGGAGCAGTGTTTTTTTCTATCAGAGAGAATGTGTTTACATCCATTATGAACAACTGAAGATAATGGATTATCGTACTGAAAAAGAAAGGCACCCTGCACACATGCAGACAATCCTATTTGAAATTAAACTAAAAACCTCACAAGGACTACACATATTTTTCCCTCAACCCTTAATTTCTGAACAGCATTGGCTTTTATCTGCTGCCTATGCACTTATTTATATTGAGTCTGATTTATTATGACCTTATTAGCTATTGCTATTATTATAATTATATTGCATGTATTAGTATCACCGCAAAGAAATGATACAGAGAAGAAGAAAAATATAGAATAGGCTGGGACTAAAATGCACTCAAAGACCTTTCTAAAAGTGATTATAGAAATATTGAAAAAAAAACAGAGTACTAGAACAGTAAAATACTCCAAAAACACAAAGATCAAAAGGAATTTCTCCAAAAGAAACAAAATAATAAAAATGTACATTCCGTGCAGAGTGTAACAAGACAGTCAAATGTTGAACCTCAAGTGCTACAGACCCATTGAGAACTTATAAAAAAAACAAAGCCTGTAACACCCACCACTTTGGAGTTCTCTTTGTAACGGAAAGCCAACTGATAAGCTGCAAATACCAAAGGGGGTAGTGTGAAGCGAATCCTCTGATTCCCTCCAGCACCAAAGTGTTTCCTGGCTGTGTTTAAAATCTGAACGAGATGAAAACAACAACCTCATGAGAACTGCCCACATTAAAATTAAAAACATTCTAACAAAGTTAAAATGACTTATTTGGGAAATCATAGATTGTGCACACTCTTAGATGACTCGAGCTTATAAATCTGTAAAATAAAAAAATCCTGAACATAAAAGTGTTTGTGTATAGAAATCCAGGTCTTTTCTGATACCTTATAATTCATTATGCCATGTAAACATTCTCTGAGTTTGCTTAAATGTCTCCTACATTAAATAATGCTTCAAGACAGTTTCTTATTTTATTTGAGGATGAAATATCAAAGGCAACAGGCCAGCCATGTTTGCTGTAACAAGTTCAAATATGATGGTCCAACTTAATTATAACAGCAGTCAATTTAAAACCTGCTATCCATAAACATTGCATTACCCTCCTTTACATAGGTCTATCTACTCATAATTTAATTAAGGAAAAGCTTCCCGTGGTGTACACAAAAAACAAGTCAATTCAGCTTCTATTAAATAGATTGATAAAAAAGGGACTGAAGGAAATGTGGAAATTTCTCTGATTACAGTGGGGCGACAAACAAAACAAAAATCTTTACTCAGCATGAAGTGAATGTCCTTCAGCAATCACAAACTAGATTCTTAGCTCACTGGAAACGTGAGATGCCAAGTACTTCTGTCACCTCTTTCAGTAATATTTAACTGTCAGAGCAGATAATTTAAGACTGAATACCAAATATTGCTGGTCTGGGTCCTCAGAGTGCAGAAGATGAATAAACCTTCCCACAAGGCTCTGCTCCTCGCCAAAATCCTCAGGATCAGGGTCCTCAGCAGGCTGGTCAGGCTGGTCCTGGATCAGTGTCGAGACCAGGTTCAGGATGTCATCCACCTACCATGTTAAAAATGAAAACAGAAATATTCAACTCAAGTTTGTGATATTATGCTGTGGTTAGAAACCTATAAGATAGCAGCTCCATGAACAAGTATATTTCAATCGATTATATATTTATACAACATTATACACCAGACAATGAATACATAACTTCAATTAACATACTCCAACTGTTCTGGAAGATGAGCTTCAAGTTTAAGCTGAATTACTGCAAACATCTCAAAATGCGGTTAAGTGTTACGTCCAATGAATTTTAAACATCCTAATACTGTCCAGGAATAATAAATCAACAGAAAAGGAGAAGGCAGCTCGCCTGACTTGCACAAACAGATCATCATATACCAGCACTAAAAGCACTTGAAGGTCATCACCTGCCATCAAGTTGATTTTCACAGCATGGCTAACTGTAGGTTACTCATCTTCCAATGGCACTAATAGGACTGTGAATCAATAACTAGGTCTATGCAGAAAATATTCTAAATCCCTTCCAGGAATAAATCAGAAAATACCCTTTTATTCCCAAAACAATTTGCTTACCTAAGCCTCCACCTGTATGACTAAATTTTGGAAAATTGAGCACATTTTTCATAAAATGGAACAGGGTTCACATGATGTGAATATGAAACCTATTTGTAAAAATAGCTTTATTTTGGCAGAAAATTGTTCTATTTACTTTATACTAAAACCTATGTTGGTTTAGTTAATGGTATAAGCGTGAGAAAAGTTTACATAATAACTACCTAGTTTACCATGATGACCTAGAAGCAGGGACAAACTGAAACTGTTTCAGACCTAGGCCTATAACTAGTCTGGAAACATTCCCATGACACCGCTGGGCCTGGCAAAAACTTAAATGTAGAGCTAGAAGACAGACGTGGTTCCAGGTTTCTATTTCATTTGCAACCTATGCAAAGCATGAGCTGGAAACAATCCCAAAGGTGGCCACACCTGCTACTGGCCCCCAACTTTCACGGCACCTCCCTTCTGATCAACCTTGCTGATCACAAATGATAATCAGCACAATTAAACTGTCATGTCTGTTCAATAAAATGTAATCAATCTGCCACAACTGCCATTTTTCTGATGATAACTACACTGGGTTTTTGCCACTAAAACTGATTAGCGTCTTGTTATATTTACCTCTTAATATTAAAAAAATTGCTTTTTTGATGAATGCTACGATCACAAAAATGATCATCATACTCAATTTCATAATAGCTCAGAGGACTTCAATGAAAACCAGGCATGTTAGTCAAGCACCCAAAAAGGCAGTAATTATGCAAAACATAGAAATATTCAGCTCGTAAGAATGATACACAAAGAAACTTCAGCAGAGCCATCTCAGCACAAGCTAGACGCACTGTTTTAAAAATGTAACTGTACTAAAAACAAACCCTACCTGTTCCTGCAAGACAATCTCAGTGCTGTAATCCAGGGTATTACTTAGGACGTAGCAACTCATGCTCTTCCTCGACTCATAATCAAAGTACTCAAACACTGGATGGAAGTGTTTTAGCTTTAGTACTGTCAGAATGTTGTTGTAGGTGTCAACTGGAATCTTCAAAAGCCTTGTCAGTTCTTTTGATACTGCACTGCTGGTGGCGATACTTTAACAGAGAGGAAAAAAAAATCTGTTTAGACCCTTATAATTCCTTGGGACCATAAAATGCCATATATTATCTGTGGATGATGCAGTGCTCCACAGCTGGTCAATGTGCAGAATCGTGCTGAAGAGTAAATATTCCATCAGCACATTTTAAAGCAGTAAATTGCACAGCCTGGACCTTTTAGAAGCTTTTGTGCACCAAAAACAAAATACCCCAGTTTTTTTTCCATCTCCAACTAAAAACCTAACAATCTAAAACTGATTTCCTGAAAAATCACAGAAACAAATACCACCAGTAATATTTTTAAATAAATTATCATTCTGACTACATATTTTTGCCAGTAGGTGAAAACTGGAAACATAACTATTGCATCATGCCTGTCTACTGAGTGCACAGTTTTGAAACCCTAACACACCACCCCATGTATTTTGTCTATCTGAGCTTAGAGAATCCAATTTACAAAAAACAAAAGTAGGAAAAACAGCAAAAGAAGAAAAAAAAAAACAACGCCAGATTCCAGCCTGTAAAACCTATGTTTATAAATTCAGATTTATACAGGAATTTAAAAATATCAGCAGACTACAGGCATAAAGGACGTGAATATTACAAATATTTTAAATAATAATGTCTACTAATATATCAAAACACTAAAGCATTAAAATATAAAACACAATTAGCAGTTTTATCACCCAAATATAGCCCATGTCTTCTTACTAGGAACTTCTTCAATTGATCTAGCATTTGCACAAACATTTAACTTTTCTCTGCCCCAGATCTAAAGATTCAGTGAGAAATAACATGGGTGATGAAGCATCCATCTTGCAAGGATGTTATAGCAGATTACCAGCAATGTGAATACAGAACAGAATAGCACCTATTAAAAGATGTTACTTGTTTTCTATTTTGAGGAGAGAAATCCATGTTGGGAAATGAATCAGATGATTTTTTTTAGGTCAGCACATCAGTGCTTTCTTGTAATAATCCAACTCAGGTTGCCTGCATATTCTGTTATGACATGTCTACTGTAAAAATAAAAACCATGCTTTCAAAAAACAGCTTGAATGAAGAAGTGTTGCTATTTCTTTCAGTCTCTAGAAACCACTTAAGAGCAAATTGTGCTTTAAAGTGACCTCACCGCAGAAGGAAGTGCATCAATAAACATATTCATGAAGGGTATTCAGCCAGACACTACATGAGGCTAATATTGTAGATGTATATAAGAACTAGAAAACATCTAGTTTGATAATTGTGGGTGTTAATTCATGAAATAATGTGTACATATTACATTATTGTAAACTAAAAGATCACTAAATGACCAGTTTGGTTTTTGCTCCCCAAAACTAAGCTGTTAACAACAGTAGATAAACTAGTAGATAAAAGCTTTAAATAATTTGTTGATGCTCATAACATAAAAATGAGTCTAAAACCTGTAAGACTTTTAAAAAGAAGTGTACTATTAAGGAGCTCATCATTACCTCATCATCAATTAATTAATAAATATTATGGCCTTTTACTCACTGTTCAAGGTTCAATTTGTTAAATATTTCAACAGTTGTCTCCAAAACTTTGTCAACATAGTCCACACGGTCAGGATAACATTTCATTGCCAAGTTAATGAGGGACACTTGCAATGAAACCACATCCTCAGAAGGCATGTCCTGTCGTGACTGGAAAAAGGAAAGGTCAAAACTGAATGAAAGTTCAAATCAATGAACAAAAAAGAAGAAAAAAAAGAGGATAAAAAGAGAAAGTCTAATATGCATTCATATACTTCAGATACCTAGAGAGCTAAATAAGCCTTCTTACCTGTATAACTGTAGCTACTTGCTGTGAGAAAATATCAAACAATTTAATATCTGCCGGAATACCAGGGCCATCCTCTCTGTGAGCAAATAAAGCAAGTCTGAAAAACAAACCAAAAAACAGAGATTTACTTGTTTTACAAGACTGTAACAGAAATTTAACTTGGACATTTTCTTAAACAATTATCAGCTTTGCATAACTGACATAAATCCTTTGTCTTACCTGTCAATCAATGCAATAATGATGTTTTTGACATTAACATGCTGGTGTAGCTCAGCACAGGCACGCAGGAATGGGTTGAGAGTCTGCAAATGAAACTCATCAGGAAAAACCTGAAACAAAGGAGAGATATCACAGCCATAAAAAGTGAAGCTGAAGAGCTGATGACCGTGTTCAGTAGATTATTTCCAGGAGGTCAACAACACACTCTGGACAGCTTTCCGAGGTACTGTATTGAAATGCAAGGCCTCTGGACACAAAAGCTTTTAAGCACCATAATTTACGTATACCAACACTTGTAGCTTTAGTGACTATGCATCAGTAATTTAGGAAAAAAACACTACAAGTGTTATATGGTTTAGACATAAAGCAGAATTACAGGTAAAGGTCAAATAAAAAAAAACAACATCTCAAGTTCAAGAGCTTCAAATGCACAAATGCCCATCTTGGCACTCTGTTATGTGAATCAGGTTGTGGAATTATGAGAAGGCCTATGTTTAGGTTCAATGTTAATAATTACCTGAATAATACATTCCATGAGGTATTCCTGAGCCAGGGCGTCTCTGCAATTGACTACCTGCTCCAAGATCCCAGGCAGCACAATCTGAAAAAAAAATAGCAATTGACATAAGCTGAGACAGATGTTTCATAATGTGATACATTAAAATTAGTAGAACACTTGGATTACTCATTTTCCAATACAAGGTGTGAATAACGGATGTTTTATAAAACAAGTACTTAAAGCTTGATTGGTTCCAGGGAAAACTGTTAAAAAAGGAAAAACATTAGTAATATTTGATTTCCATGTTCATCATCTCTCTTTGAGCGTCATACAATATCTTGATCTATTAATTCATCATTAAGCTACATGTTTAAAAACAGATTTTCAGAAGGTGGTAAAAGTTCTCCAAAGAGTCAACACATTTTTTCAGCAATTTCACCCACTTTACTATTTAATTAACAATGTAATTTAAGTGCATTTTTTTCTTTTAAGAATTGCAACCCCAGCATAAAAATACAAATTTTAAACTAAGATGTTAATAGTCATTGAATCCCTTAGAAGACATTGAATAACCAAGTTGGGACGTGTGTTTAACGGTCAAATGTAACTGATAATTAAAAAAGGCAGAAGGGTAATCCACCCATAGGAGAGTAAAGCACATTCATCTCAATAATTCTTCCTTTCAATAGCACCTGAATTATTTGCATGTTCCCCTGAATATTAACTGTCCTTGATCAGGCTGACAATTAAGTTTAAAAAATGTAATCAAGGATGAAAACCACCCAGCCAAAGCACAGTTTGCATATCAAAGTAGACATTTCTTGTTTTTTCCCCTCTAAATAACTCCGAAGTAAAGTGTTTCCATACTAAACCTCAAGAGGCTTACCCTCTTGATATAGCCTCATCTCTGGAGCATGAGTCCCAGTAATGCTCTGCTTCCATTCAGAATCATTGTACACACTCCTTAATTAATGGTAATATTGAATGTCTCTCTAATTTGTTTTTTGTATTTTTAATAAAACATAATTTATATCCCCACTGCATAGCATTACTATTAATTTTAATTACCTTCTCCTAAGCTTTGCTTAAGAGTACCATGTTTGCTTTTTAAAGAAGCCATTAAGGCTAATAATTACAAAAGTAATAGAATCCTGGTGAACTCCTAAAAGACTGCAAATGTAAACCAAAGACTTAATATAAAATATAGTTTTAAAATTAAACAAAGGCATACATTTAGAAATTGTTTCCTTGTCTCATTACATTCAATAAAACTAAAATCAATAAAACACTGCTTATTACAGCACATGCGTTCCTAAAGAAAGTGAATCAAATGATACATTTAATCACCTGTACAAAGAACAGATCAATAGGGATGAAGTCAGAGGTAAAAGGTCAAGTCAAGGAAACCATACTGATAAACATACTGATAAAAAAACTAAAAACAACAAGGTTTAAAAAATATGAGTAAATCCACTGAAAAGGTTCAAATGTCTTTATTAATTTTAAACCCTGATCTTCCCACGGTACCTGTTTGTATTTTTCCACATTGACACCCTCTAGCTGGCTCAGCCGAACCAGGTTGGTTCCAACAAGGATTCTCAACTCCTGCCGCTCCCTCTCCCTCTTCTCACGGTCCCGGCTGTGGCCCTGGTGCTGCATTCGCACCCACAGTTTGTTCATCTCCGCAAAGTTCAGGAGTACAAAGTCCATCGAGTCATTTATATCTCCAGTCGTCTCCTCTCTGGGGAGGGAAAAAAAACAACTGAAATCGGCACAAGCCAAGACTTCCAAATACACATCTGTGTTTAACTAACATTCAATTTAAGCAATAAGGAGTGCTCGCACTGTAATCAATACAGACATATGTTTTTGGACAATTTGGAAATTTTCCATTACACTATGTAATAAGCTTCAGAACCCATATAAGGGGGTTTGTAGACCATACCCAAAGTAAAATTAATTCTCATACTGCAAATTAAATAAAGCATATACCCTACTGCAATCATAATGAATGAAACTAAAATTAATTTTCTCTAAAAAAAGGAGTGAGCCGGTCATTCAGAAAGTTCTCTTTTAAAATGAGGATGCATCACAATTTCTCCTTCCAACACAGCATGGTAATAATTACAACTGACTTTACTTCTTTGAACACACTGATATTATCAACCAAAAAGGGAATGAGAAATTAGGGATAGTACTCCTGGCTTCACTCTCTAATGGCAAAGTTAATGTTACAAGGCTGATGTAGGGGTCTGAATATGACAAAATGAAATATGCCACTTGAAAGAGAAGGATGAAACAGCCTTACTCAGGCTGTTCCCCATCATCCGGCAAAATGTTTCTTGTGCACTGGAGTAGGTAGTTTCGAAGGAAAAGACCTCGGAGGGGATGTTGTACTCCTCTGCACATTTCCACCAAGTCTTTCAGGATATCCTTGCGAGACTGAGGAAATGATCTCACATACACCACACCCACAGTGATCAGCAAGTAACTGGAAGTCAGCAGGAAAAAGAAGGCAACATCAAACAGGGTGATACAGCCTGGACACATGCATGGGAATACAAACAAAAATAAAAGCAAACAGGCAGTATTTTGTTACTAATAAACAATGACTAGCACTGCATTCAAATCTTATTCTCAAGGGTTTTATAACGAAATGCAATCTTAATCCCCCGAGGACTTACAGTTGAATTAATTTGATTTAATTATTTCTTGGATCTTTCAAATATTCTGCAAGATATGTTCTAATGTATTCAAAATTATCAGTGTATGTGATACTGAGACCAAAAATGCATAATACTGTCACATTTTCAGATACATTTTCCTAACACGTGCTACAGAAATGAAGTTGTTTGAAAGAGCCATTTGGAATGGCTAAACCAGAGGTAAACCAGAAACACTTGAGACTTTCTTTTAGAAAGGGTAAACTTCATCATCTCACTTGCTGTCAAGAAAACACACTGCTGGGATTGGAAACTCACAGGCGGGGGATAATATTTCCTGCATATTGGACAAGCTCATATAGATCTGCCACCTTTCTGCCCTTAGCAAACTCATCAGTCAAATAAACCTCCAGGTAATGCAGTTCATCAGAGATTGCCATGTCTACACACTGAGTTAAGGTACAGTATTCTGGATAAATAATGTCAGTTTATTAAAATTGTTAATATCACATTTACTGTGTCATCAAAATGAAGCTTTTACAGATGACCTGGCAGCTAACACACCATCAAGACAGAATGTATACAATTATAGCTGTTAACTGCTCTAAATTTCCCTTATTATTGCTGATTACAAAACAAATGTTTAAACATATCTACCTGATCTGCTATTTAAGGCATTTTGGCAAATCTAATAAATAATAATACCTTATCAAATGGTCAACACCACAAACAATTCAAAGGCACTATAACATTTAGTTGTGAATATCAGTTTCTAGGATGAATGTTAAATGTAATACAATTAGATTACAGATTAATAGAAAACCTTAAAATATCACTGTGAATACCACAAATTTGAAATAATTTCCTTGGGAAAATACATGTGTTAAAATTTTAAGTAATTTTGTTAAATTTCATAACCACAAAATATTTCCCATTATGTTTAAATCAAACACAGATTCCTTTTTAATGCACAGTGGTATTCAGATACAAAGACATAGATCTGTTAGAAGGTTAGGAAGAACAGCTATTTCTAGCTCAAGAAACTGTTTAACATGCTTCCTGATGGTTTTGTGAATAATACGCAAAAGCAGTGTTCTGATTAATTCAAACACTTCAAATATTAAGATGTAGACTATTTTACAAAAATCATATAACTTATGGGGACTCCAAAAGTTAAAAAAGTATTTTTAATCAATGCAAGTAATTCAGTCATGATCTGTGCATTTTGAAGATGAAAAACATAAATCAGGTTGCTGATGAAAGGATACAGAGTTCATAGTAACTCTTAGGAGACAGCATAGAGGTTCGTAACTCGCCAAGCATGTTGGATGCATGTTTCAGGGCATCCATGAGCTTGTTCTTGTCCTATAAAACGCAATATTAGTTATCAAAAATAAAAAAAAAACAATCTTTTTTTAAATGAAAATACATAATGGCACCACATCTTACCAGGCAGCGTTTCATCTGAAAAGACTGAACCTTGACAGCCTGAATAGCTTCATCAAGAAGCTTTTCCTGCTCATCTTGTGGAGACTGCTGTGTGGTAGGCTGAAATCATAAACAAACAACCTCTGGCTGAAAAATTACTTTGGACACATGCGATCAATCGCAACAAAGCAAGCTGCATCTTTCAAAGTTAATTATCTTCGCCAGGCTTCCGTTAACACTTCTTCAGATTGGCTTCTGAAAACCCATCTAATTTCTTAAACCAGGGAAGAAGTTCACAAGGGTTTTCACGAAAATAAGCATTTCATTTCTGGACTTGATTCATGATGTATTTCAGTTAACCAACCCATTACACAACCCCCAGTATTTATCTTCAAATAATGGAACCGCTTTATACAAATAATACATAACAAAATGTTAAGACATGAGGAAAAAGGTTAGAAATAAAATGCGGCTGTCAAGCAAAATCATCAGGTTCTTATGTGTTCCTCTATCCGTTATAAAACCCAGATTACTAAAGACTTCCTGCATTTCTAGTTCAGGAACTCTGTATTTGGAAGTCTCAAGAGGGCATGTTTCAAAATGTAACTACTGAATACCGATATGTACTGGGGAGAAGAGGGTACATATGTTGAGGTAAAAAGTTCCATCTTCATTTTTCCCCACCCAAATATGTTTTTTTTTGTTCTGACATATTGATTGTTTATGGGATGGCATTAATTACACCTACTACTCATTCTTGGTGCAATAAAAGTAAAGCTTTAACATTTTACTGTAAAATATTCTGCATTCTGCATATTTTACATATTGGTATTACTTTCTAAAGGTGCTTTAACATTTCACTGTAAAGTATTCTGCATATTTAACACATTGGTATTGCTTTCAAAAGCCATTCGACACCCAAGTACTATTATTCAGCTAGCCCACTGGGATAACACTACACCAATAAGGATATACACAGGAAAAGTGACAGATCATCTGACAGCTATCAACCAGCACTGACAGAAGCAAACGTTTGAAGATACAAATTAAAATGCATTTTTGTAGTGATAATTTGATTAAACTATTTATTATCAGCAACACAACTCTTAACACATTTAATGGGGAATGTGCTTTTATTTAAGAAAGGACATTCTTTAATCCTGTGGCTGCTTTAATACCATCTGTGATATCCTCTCTAAATACGAATGCTGTAGCCTTTAATTCCAGCTGAAAACTAGTTAACTGTTTCTGCAACACCTCGATGTATGGAATGGGGACTTCGTTAAAAACAGAAACTGGGACAAACATAAAATAAAACAGGTTAGCTACATATGAAGTCTGCAACCGACAATGATGAATAACTTGCAAATCAAGGTATGCAAATAATGAGCAAGTGTGAATGTGAACACAGTGATGGTCTTAATGTTTGATATCCCAAAAATACAGAACATTACAGAATCGCTGGAGTAAGTACCTGAAATATCAGGTATCTGCTTGCGTTCAGAGCCCTTTGGAGCCGAGGTCGTTTATTTTACATGGAAAGTTTAATGCATGTAGAAACATATTTCAAATAAAAATAAAATACTGAAATGAATACTGCAACGAATACTGAAACGAATAAAAAACTAGAATGCGTTTGTTTCCTATATACCACGTGTGCAATCCACGTCTTAAAGAGAAATGTCTTTATTTATGGACATATAAAGTTCGCAGATACACCGCAGTACTGTAAATTACAAATACTTTCTCCCCCCCCTCCCCCTTTTCCATAGCCTGGAACTGCAGTTCTTCATTTTCAAAACTTGTCATGAAATGTAAACATAAACTCCTTTGCAAAACATCACATGAGCTTTCAGCAATTTAGTTTCTGTTGGAATTTAATCAAAACCTTACATTTTAAAGGCAGCGGAGATCAGTGTGCTTAATGTACTTCATTCCTGACAGCAAACGAAAAAAAAAAACAGGCCTGCCTGAGACGAGGCCTTTACAACACCCATCCGTACACGCAAGGGATTTTTTAAAATACTTTTATTTTAAATGCATTGCAAAAAACGACGCTGGGTTTATGCAATGACTCGGATGCGATAAAACCTTAACCCATGACTTCAAAAGACGTTAAAACGAGATTTTCAACAATATCTACACTTACCATGATTACCAGGATGTTTCAGGAAACTCAACCCCCCTTTCAGTGTTCCTAATCATGTGACTTCTGCCAGCTAACCCCGTGACCCCCGCACTCCCTCCCACACACCTGTCTTCATTGGCTAAACCAGAAACTCTGTGAGAAAGGCTCGCTGATTGGTTATCGAGAACCGATTGACGTGTTAGGTAAACCAATCGTAGGATGACAGAATTACAGACGCTCTGCAGATGTAAAGGAAATATTGCAAAACTGAGATTATTCATGACACTGCTGTTTTTACAAAAATACATATTTCTTTAAGCAGTGCCCTCAGCTATTCCCATTATATTCTCCTATATATACATCTGTGTTTTTTTTCCTTTATTTGGGTTAATATCGTATGAAAAACAGACATTATTAAACTTGATTACGCTGTACATACTCATTATACCGCTTTAGTGTTTAAATCCGCTGCACGTAATTGCTAATTTACAAACAAGTCTATAAATGTAACAAACGTACATCGATTGACAAAACATTAAGTTTTATTCAGGACATTTCCACTTCAACATGAATACTCCCTTTGCGGTCGTCATACTACCCCCACTCCAGACAGGGCGGGTCACTATCCGTCTTTCTCTTTGAGTGGCTTTTAGTCTAACCAATCGGAAGGCTGGTTACGCCGCCAAAGGCGATTACGTCATATACACGCCAACCAGAAGTTACAGGGGGCGGAGCGCTGTAAAACTTCCCGCGAAACAGCTGTTGATCAGTGGTGCTTACAGGCTCATATGTAAACTTTAAAACGGGGTGATTTTTTTTAACTGGTTGTGTTTCAATCTAGTACATCAATAAGAGAAAATGGAGCAAGAAGTATTTGGAAGGTTGGCATCAAAAATGGGTATAACATCTGATAAAATACTGACGTAAGTACACTGTTAGTCGTTGAGATTTCGTGGTTTTACTACAGACGTTGTTTAAGCACATGTTAAACCGGCTAGTCAGCGAGCCTTGGATAACCGTGGTATGTACAAAGTATCACAAATGAATAAAGAGTAGAAATTACTTAAAGAGCGATCTTTTTGTGGCTTCTCATAAAAACTTTTCATTGTTGTATTGACAGTAAAGCTCAAGAATACCTTCGGCTGTCCCAGATAAAATGTCCAGGTCTTTCCTCACACACGACTGCAACAAGCAAGGCAGTTGTGTGTTTAGAGCTGGCTGCGACTGCAACGAAACACCCACTGGATAAAGTAAGATTCTTTGTGGTTGTTTGCTCTTTGTTAATCCTGGCGGCGTTACTATCCATGTTTTACTGATTTCGTAGGCAAAACATAATTAGTAGGTTTCCTGATAAGTAGGTTTCAGGATCAGGGACAAAGCTTTCAGCTTTAATTTTCTAAAATGTAAATCCTTCCCTTTGTACTCTACATGTTTTGAAATGTAAGCACCCGCTGCTGGAAAGAGGCTCTTAATTTATTTAATCAGAGTGATGTTTAGATTCGTGCTTTGCATGAGGATGTCAGTCCACCTGGTATTGTATCAACGCTTTTTTTCGTGGGGACACAATGCAAATAAGCGATACCTATAGATAACAGAATTTCATAAACCGTGTGTAGGTTCAAAGATAATTAAATCCTTAAGGTCAGATGATCACCTATGTTGTGTGACGGCATTTTCTTTTCGTTTCGAATAGGAGTACGTCATCAAATTGTCTGGATTAAACAAGAAGATGTATCAGAGCCTTTTGAAGTCCATGGAGTGCTTGCTTGGTTTGGAATCTCAGATAGGCCTTAGAGACTTAGCTGTGCAGTATGGGTGTATAGATGCTGTTACTACTGCTGCAAAAATATTGGAAAGGTGAGAGAATGGATTATATATTATTAATTCCTTCAAATAGTGTAGCCAGTTTTGGCCTTTTACTAAGCCTTTGATGGGGTTAGGTACACTCTATTTTTCTCTAAATGTATGAATGTTTTTTAAGCTTGCCTTTGTTCTGCAGATATGAAGCCAGCCTACCTGAAGCACAGCAGAAAGACATTGATTTATCAAAGCCACTCTTCACAACAGCAGCTTTGCATACAGCTTGCAGGTAAGACTTTGTTTTTTTTCTCAAACAAAATGGTTGCTGTTCTTAATCCACTCCACCAATATTCCCAACTCAAGGGCTGGTGTAAATGAATTTACAAGGACAAATAAATTGCCTGTAACCTTTGAGCTTAGAATTGAAAGAGTGAATCACAGTGCATAACATTCTATCAAGAAAATAGCCATTGCCTATTCAGCCAGCATGATTATAGCCTGAGATTTTAGTTACTAATAACATGCTTTAAGTGGGAGAGGGCACAGTGGAAAGGATATTTTAAAATAATTACAACATGCTATTATTACTTAATCACTGCCAAAGGATAATTTTTAGTGGAAATCTATTTTAACATCTTGTCTAGTACTGTATTCAGAATGACAAGAGTATTCAGGATGGCACAATAATATTTGAGATATTTCAGTATTTCTTATGCAGTCTTGGTCATTTTTCATACAGATGCATGAAGATCAAAGTTGATAAGAAGCTGGTTGCCATGTCTGGTGCAGGGAAGCGTATCTTTGACCGACTTTGTGCTCAACTGGAGAAATTTGGACAACAGATCTGCAGTAAGTAAAAAAAAAATCTGTGAGGTTCATTTTCAAATTTTCTTAAATCCTAAGCTTATGTCACATTTAAGACTGTTGTGTCTGATAAAACAAGAAGTCTATTTAGTAGTTAGAAGCAAATTGATGCAAGGATCTCATCCAGCTATTTCTTGAAAGAAGGCAGAGTATTGGCTTCACCGACATGGGTGGATGGCTTGTTCCATACTCCCACAACCCTTTGTGTAAAGGACTGCCATCTGTTCTTAATTATAAGTGCACTTCCATGTAGTACTCACTTGTGTCCTCTGGATGTAAAGTAACTAATGCTCCAGAACTAAGAAGTTGTAAATTGGGGTTTTGCCAACTGAAGTACTGAGATGAAAACATTTAATTTCATAACTTCAAATATGTTTTATTAATCCCCTGCTTATGGGGCATGTATTTTCACACTTAAATTGATGCTAGTGCTGTTGAATCATAACTAAATTCACACCAATTTATGCTTTGACACCAATGCTATCAAGCTTGGATTGTTGTAAGAAGGTCTAAAGGGAATTCTTTTTTTGTGAGGTGTGTGTGTGGAGGGTTGTTTCACTAAAAGTATACAGACTTATCTGTTGTTGACTAATGATGTTGCCCTATTCCTTTTCCAGAAACAAATTCCGTATGGTCTTCTTGCTGAATCTCAACCAGTTTGTGATTATAAAATATTCATGAAAGCACTATATCTGTTGTAATATGTCCATTGTCCATTTAAATCTTGTATCTTTTGCAAAATATACAAGTATCCAATGAATAATAAAGGATTTTGTTGGGTTAAGAAGTATATTTTTGATTTGTAGCTTTATTGATAGACTTTAATTAGCAACATGCTGTTTGGTATTTCAAGGCAGAAGGTCATTTCTAGTCTTGATTTCAGAACCGCAAGGAATATCCAGGATTGTTTGCATTGCTTGTCTATCCTCAAGAAGAATTGGTACTTTTCACTCGAAGTGTTGATCAGCTAAAATGCGAGACTTTAATAAGTTAAATAGTTAATTAAGCACAGATTCATCAAGTTTTTTTAAAGGATGAGAGTGGAGGAATATTTGCATTCCAAATTAGAAGTGGTCTCTGCCTTTAGATTAAATTTGATGCATAAGAAATAGAATATTTAAATAAAATTTGGTTACTTTGACCATCAGATTCCGATGTTTGCTCATAATTATTCAGGGTGAGAACATTTTCATATTTCCTCTTAAATCAGAACATTAACAGCCTTTATTTTCTCCACAAAGGTGAGTGCATTCAACAGAATGAACAAACAAAAACAGCGAGGAAAAGACAGAAAACATTGTTGGAGTGCATAAAAGAAAAAGAAGGTAAACAAATTAATAAAAGGACATTTCAAAGAGCATGTTAAGAGCCCGTTTTATGTTGACCTGATATCGCATACAGTATGTAATGTGGTTGACCATACACTGGCAACTATCCACTGAAAGTCAATTTTATTTTTATATTTACAGAAGAGGAGACATTAACTTCTCATAAGCAGCAAAAGAGTAATTCTGAGGAATGTGTGCAGCAGGATTATGAAGAATGGAAGAGAAGGATTCTTGAAAATGCACTGAAAGCCAAGAAAGTCGATACCTAATCTGCAGAAGTCTTACTTGCAATTGAGTTTTTAATTTGATGTTTTAGTTGAGGCTGTAAAAATTGCATTCATTTTGTGATTTAATAGGATTATCTTTTATCTGTTATACGTTGCTTTTAAGTTGTTTTTCACATGGAGCTTTTGAGATTGCTGACAGTGGGCAGAACAATTACATGCGTACCATATGGCATGATTTAAAAAAAAAGTAATTGTGTTCTGCTGGTGGCATCTCTACAACTGTTTTTTATACTTTAGTTTTATTAAGTGACACTTCCAGGAAGTGTTCTGAATCATCATTTTTTACTTATTTGCCTTTTTAACGTTTCGGTCTTTAATGTGCTTGGTTGTTTTAGCTTTGAACCATTGCAGTTTTAGTTAAAATCTTTTTGTTGGAATTTTGCACCTCCTAGTGGTTAATGGAGGAGGGGTGTCAAAAGACGATAGCGATGGATTGTGTAGGTTGGGGTGTCAGATTTGGTTAATCCAGAGCCTGAGGTCTTTTGGTCTTTATTGCCTCTAAATCTGTTTCATTGGTGGTCTAAATAATAGCATGATTGTAATACATCTTACTTCTAATACTTTTATGACTGCTCACTTCTATACATAACTGTTCCTTTAGGGCAGTGATAGTTTTGGGTCAACCATAAGAATCATCTCCATATATGCCTAAAATAACCATCTAAATTGTTTGGTCTGCACAAAAAACAGAAGACTAGGCTCTCCAGGAACTAATTCTGACACGCCTGGGTTCATCAGTATACAAACAGTACAGCATTGCTTGCCTTTGTATTTGGTCTGAAGGTGGGCAACTGAATAACACGCAATATTTCAAATCTTCATTAGTAATTTGTATTTACATACTCTGAGCCCTTATTTGACAGATTTCATAGCTATGAATTGAAAACGGGGATAATCTTTGTATTGAGCATTTACTCAAAGTATACAACTGTAAGAAAGTAGCAGGTGTGTGGTGTGGGTCACTAAATCATTATAGCAAGATTTTTGAGTTGCCACCAAGCTCTTGCTCATAATAATTCCATATATTAAAAATAATTATTTTTTAATTTTTATTTTGGTTAGATATTACATACGCTGCTTTTAATTTATACTTTATTTAAAAATGCATGCTCTATTTCACCTGGACAGGACCAATTTTAAAAAGCAAAAATACTTTTTTTACTTCAATTTACAAACTGAAGTGACTTCAACATTTATTTTCTACAAACAGCTTTTACTTTCAACTAGAACACCCCACATAAAAGGAACTCAAAGACTGTGCATTTTTTTTAATTCTGTGCTTTAAATATTAATAAAATTATATGCAAATTATTTTCTTTTTAAAACTAATTTTGTGTCTTCTCAAGCAAGGAAGATATTCTTATTGACATTTAAGAGTTCAGTATTTAACACCTTTCTTATTTACATAGTGCTCTGCCTCAAAGATGTGCTGCTCTGTTGGATTTACTGTAGGTTTATAAAGTGTGTGACAAGGTATAATAGCTTTATCCTAACAACCTTTGTGTAACATTTTTAATGAAAACATTTATAATGGAGGAAATTAAATTAACTGCATATTTATAGACTACTTAAATATTTCTTAATACCCCTACTAATTTAAGTAGACAAGATAGAACATGCTGACTGTCTGAATAACAGAATACAGACTAAACAGCTCTTTACAGCTGCATGTAAAAAGGACATTATGTTAATCATAAAAACTAAATATAACTATTTCCTTTTTCATGAAGGTGAGTAACCAATGTGTTCAAAAAGTGTCGTCATCTTTCTGTTGTCACTACAAACCACTGACGTACTTGAGAGAACTGTAATTAAAATTCCCATACTTTAATGTCTTTTTATGTTCCTCTCACAGATAAGAGCTGTATAAACCTGTGTTGGCATAATGCAAAATATTCTAAATGCACTTAAGTTCACTAATGTACAACGATAATTGTAGTGTAGTCTTTTCTAGTACTTGCCATGCACACACAAGCAAGTCATAACTGCCTTCACAGAAGGAAAAATATGTATATCATATCTTGCAAGTACAATATTTACAACAATCTTAATAGACTCCCAAATGCAGTTCTAACAATAGCAAGTGTTTAATGCATATATTTTGTATTTTGCTTGCATATAAAAATAAAGCATTCTGTAAATGAGTGTATGACAGGGCTAAAACGGTACATTTTGGTAATGGCAAATTTAAAAAGGTAATATGTCACTTAAACAGGTTAGATTTAGGTGAATTAGCATGAATAGAAAAGTGCATGCACACCTGTAATGAACATATACTGTACATCAAAAGAAGCATCAATCCAAAATAACATATTAAATGTTTTTTATGTTCTTTTTAATTGATCATTCATGACTGACCCTGATACACTCAAATAACTTGAATGTTGCATAAGCACTAAATCTCTTCATTACTGAGACATGATTGGGCACAGGTAAATTAACCTGTTCATTATCAAGCCTGGTTTTTTGAGAAAAAAAACCCAAGCTGATACATTAATCAAGAGAATGTCTGTATGTTATTGGTATGTTGGAGGCTGAGCTCAGTCCACTATCTCTCAATATCTCAGTGCCAGCAGAATCTAACCTGGCAAGGTGTTACAGCCGAATACAGTCCATTAATACGAGGCTATGACCTGGGAGACCACACACCTTGCACTTTGTTAAAATTGATGATAAGGTATAATTGTGATTGTCTAGACAGAAATGTTCTACGTCTCTTGGAGTGATTTATGGAAACCTAACTGCATGGCTACATTGATCAAGCTCTTGGACACTCTTCCTGCAAGCACATCCTGAATTGTCAACATTCCAGTAGGACAACGCATGTCCTTAATGCTGCTCATATAACATTTACACCATCGATGTTCAGCTTGCCAGATAGGAGTCACAGTGTGTGTTGTGACATGCCAATATTGCTCAGACACAAGTAAACAGGCACATTTGTCCAGGTTTTAAAAAAAGAACAAGACAGAATCTGACAAAGAGAGTATCTATAAATTGTTGAAAACCATGTATTGCATCCAGCTGTAGCTACAAAAGTTACTAGGCCTGTGACAGTAGTCTCCCTGTTGATGACACGCTAATCATCAGAATAAAATGTACCTATTTCATGTTTGTTCATTAAAATACAAGTGCACCTGTTATAAAACCATTTCCAATAAACTGAGGATTCTTTGTAGTTATACATTAGTTTCTTTTGATGCTCAGAATATATCAGTGTCAGAAACAAATTAGGGTAGGAAGGTGAACGGGGATATATGAACATAAGGCTATTCAGATCTGGTTGAAGTTTATCAATAGTACAAACTCTAGCAATAGTTTTGATGTTTTAAGTGTGTGCATGCTGCTGTGAAGAAACATTCAGTCCTATTTTCTCTAAAAACATCACATCAAAGTGAGTTTGCAGACTCATTCTAGTTTTGTCCTTGTAGGATTCAGCGCCAATGCTGGGTTCACAGATCGGCCCTGGCGAAACTTCTTCAGTCTGTTTGCTGCAGCAACTACATAGAAATGTTTCTGCAAAGAGAGCAATTGAGAAACAGCAGTCAATTGGGTTCGTGAGCTGTTTCCTTGCAAATGCAACAATATTTATCATGCGTTGTCAAAAACCACTTAGTCCAATAAAGCACTAGAGTGAGCCAGAACATAGCCCAGCAGATAACTGGTGCAAGGCAAGATAACCCTGGGTGGGATGCCAGTCCATTTCAGGATATGCAGACATACTACTTAACAATGGCAGCATGTCTTCAGACTATAAGAACATTGGAGTACCTGGAGTAAACCTTCCACCTTGGAAAAGCATGCAAAATCCCAGCACCCAGGAGCTGTGAGGCTTCACCTCTAACTTACACGCTTCTTCGTAAATGTTATAAGCTTCTTTAAAAATACATCATACATCCTCTGAGCATTATATTTCAGACAGCTAGTTATTCAAGCACATCACTTCAGAGATAGGAAAACGTTTGCGTTTTAAACAAACATCTAGGTTGTTTAACAACGTCAAAATATATATTTACAAAGTCTTGTTAAATCTCTGCATTCTATCAATATCCCTGTGGAAAAATGTGCACTTTGTCCTCAAAACATTATAAACTGCTCTTCAATATGTTTTCAGTTCCAACCTACAACAGCTTGTTACCTTCCACTGTCGATGCGCTAGGTATCTCTGCAAGCGCAGCTGGGATTTCAGACGAACCCTTCGTATCTTGGCTTTGTCTGCCAAATTGTTCAGCCACTCATGTTTCATGCAGCCAGAAGCACTTAAACGGCTACTGTTAAAATAAGAAAAAGGCAACTGAAGATTGGAGAAAAGAGTACAACACAGCATCGTTTTGTCATGTAATTCTAATTGTAGTCAATATTTTAGAGGTAAGGGTATAAAAAGGTACATTCTGATTAGCATTCATTCACATCCATTGTTATTCACTGTTTATCTTGTCATTTTAAAAGGTTTATTCTAATTTCTAGAATACACAGTAAAAATAGCTTGTTTTGTTAATACCATTAAGCATTTCAATAGATTACGTCTGACAAATTTTATGTGACAAAAAAGCAATAGTCATATCTAAAATGCTTTTTTCATCAACTAATTATAGGGTTTTAAAATAATATAGAGTGCACAATCATCTGAGACTGACATCTGTTCTAAATACAGCCTGTTATTCAAAATAGTACAGTGTACAGTACATTCTAAACAGCAAATGCAGTTTCAATATATGCTCATCTTTTCATTTTTTAATGATCACACTGATTGTTAAAGAGTATAGTCTGAATGTACCCTCTGCGTTATTCACACAATGGATCAAACAGGATCAAACAATGTGTTTTTAATTTCAAAACTCATAATCACTACCTATTTATTTCACATTTATAGGTGTTAAGGTCAGACTATTTGATCACTTAAATTATACTTTATCCGAAAACTTGCTCTGTATGTTTTAGTGAGCTATGTAGACGACTCAAGGCCAAATGCAGATCCGACAACTGATAGTGTGACTCACTCTTCTATACAAAGGTCTACTTTTTTCCCCCACTGTAAGCAACATTCCTGTGCAGCCTCCATCTCAGTTTTGTACGTCACAGAACCCAAAGTCATGAATGAAAATTATAATTAATGGTGAATTATAGCATGTCCAGAGAAAGCCCCTTTCATTTGTGTCAATAATGCTATCACCTGCTTAGACAGTTTAGCTTTGCTTCCTGCCAGCTGGGCTTGTGAAATACCACATTGTATGAGGCAAAAAAACCCCAGTGTGCCCTTCTGTTTAGGCCATCACATATAATTAAAATATAAATAACCCCCAACTGTAGAGTTTCGCATCCTTATAAATAGTTTACTAATGTTAGAGCATTTCAGTTGTGTAATGTAATGAAAGGTCAGTTAATATTTACATGCTTAAACTAAAGAAAACGTTCGTATAAAACATTTAAAAATATCACCCAAGCAATTGTCCCTAAGACCAGATAAACTGAATCATATGTGTTTTAACCTGATTATATTCTGAATGCTTTTCTGTGATTCCAATTAACTGACATGTAGCATCTAAAATGAGTGAGAAAAAAGCAATCAGAAGTGTAAAAACAGTAATCCAGTGTGTGTCAGAATTAATTTTATTCTGTATTTTAAAACAGAGATTTAATTGCAGCTAAGTCCATCTGTCCATGTGTTTATGATTGGCACAATGTATGTAAAATGTATAGATTCAATAATGTACCATTTTTTTTGGGGGGGGGGGGGTGTATTTAAAGCATAACGATTCCAGTATAGAGAATTGAGGTGGAGAAGTCTACTGTATATTATTACAGAAGGAAAGACAATAAGCATGATAAGCATGATACCTTCTCTCTAAGACGAGCAGCCTTGAAATGAAGTCTTTTGCCTCAGAAGAGACATTTTCAAAGGCCTCAGCGTCAAAGTCCCAGTTGCCATGAAGGATGTTGTTCATCGTCTCTGTGTCATTATCTCCCAGGAAAGGAGACAACCCACTGAGCCTGAATCATAACATTTGTTTATCAGAAAACGTAATAGAGCACTCAAACAATGTATATTTTAACAACTAAAAGACTTTAATATCATCCAGTTGTCTTGTATAAGGAAGAAAAAAATATTTGCTTAATCATTTTAACATTGAACATTTCACAGATCTGTTTAACATACATACATAGAAACAGGGATTATCTCCAGATCTAACAAGACAGTATAATATATATATTATTTTTAAAAGTTCCGAAATCCATATTTTTGTCAGTGCATCACACAATATTTGCTTATTTTTGTGCTCTCTTCATTTTTTCAAAGTCTTACTATTTTTGTGCTGTATTCTAAATGATTAAATTATAGTCCTTTTGTTACAATAAGGCATATTAAAAGCCTTTGTTTCTTGGTGAGCTCTTTCTACCTCAAGTAGCAGTTGTCAGAAATCTTAGGTTCGTTCATGTTAACAAGGACCACCTTTCAGTAATGGAAATACAATGACTATGTAACAGCAGGTAATTTAGGGCCATAGCTTGTCTGAAAAATCTAAAATATGAGAGACCCTCTTTAAACAGTCAGGGAATAACCTAGAATTAGCACAAGAAACATGTTTTATTAAACTAAAGCAAAAAAGTGACACTTAGAGTAAATAGCCAGAAAAGGCTGAAGCCTTTATTTGCTGAGCAGGAAATGGTAGAGACATAATGTCTTGTGTGTACAGAAAAAGAAAACAGGAATGCAAGATGTTTTCAAGGACTTCTTCCTTTCTTGTTTTTTTCATCACTTGTTTTAAGCCTAAGCATAAGAGTTAATTATTTTAATGGCTTAACGCTTGTCAATTCATATGCGAGACATGATGTTTTCCCCCAACCTTTTGTTTTAAACATTCCAGCAACTTGTACAATTGCATTAAAATGTTGCTCCAGGCAACGAAAGCTTTGGACATACAGTATACGACAGCAGCACTTACAGCATATATGTGATGACTCCGACACTCCACATATCGGTGGGGAATGACACGTAATCATAATTCACCACTTCTGGTGCTAAGAACTCAGGTGTGCCGAAGTTGACTTTCAGCTTCTCACGAGGTTTGTACCTGATACACAAATAGAAGATGTCATTTCCCACTGTGATGTACAAGAAGACAACTATTGTTACAACTTTTATATCTAGTAAGTGGTAAGTAGACCCTATCTGTGAAAAGCAGCTCACTCTCACAGCATTGGTATTCTATAATTAATTTACTTTAAATATACAAGACTCCTGTATTTGTAATAAATTTTATAAAAACAGCGAGACACATGTGTATAATTATTTGATATTCTAGATTTCTAAATTCATTTTACACTTATTAGGCAATGACAAGTGAAAATTTATTTTTCCAGTCTTTGAAATGTGAAGTAAACTGCCACACATTTCAGATGTGGATCATGACATTAAGGAACATTTATTTCATTACTCTCCAAATTTTCAGGTGTAGTCTTTGGTACAGAAAATGATCTCAGAGAAAAAAAAACAGCTTCAAATGAACCTCCGGAGCCACCTACGCAAACAGAGGCTGAATGCTCTTTGTTGCTATGAAACCTTCAACAGCTTGTGTTTGTATGGAGTTTTCTTCATGGGGACGAAGGAGTTAATCCAAATGGAAGGTTAAAATTAACACTGTAGTGTTACTACTGTTTAATCTTCACACACCTGAATGGATTCAGTTTGCTCAAAAACTGACTCTTGTTTTACTGAAAGGACTTCTTGGTCCTGTAGCCTCTTAACAAACTCATATCCCAGTGAGCAAACACACAAAACAGTTATTCATTAAGTGTCAGGCACTTACTTTCTCGCCAGCCCAAAGTCAATTATTTTTATCTGATTTCCTGTGTTGTTTACACATAAGATATTCTCTGGCTGAAAAAAAAAGAGAAAAAAGGAACTAATATCAAAGTCAGCAGTGAAGATGTCCAAGGTAACATTTAAAACCATACTGAAATGAAACACGAATTGGGAACATTTTAAACCCAAATGTGATAGTACCTTGAGGTCTAAATGGAGAATGTACTGCTGGTGGAGATACTGCACACCTTCACAGATCTGACGTGTAAACACAATGGCATCCAGTTCTGTCAGGTGATAATTGTCATCCACAATTCTGTCAAATAATTCTCCACCATCCACACTGCAAAAACATGACATTAAATAAATAGACTGGAAGCAAAAATTGTAACACTTTTTTCAGGGCAAGGGGAAATAAAAGGGAGAGCAGACATTCTAAATGTAAGGATAAAAAGAAAATGTCACAGGTTCAGTGGAGAAAATTGAATACATTAAGAACATAGACAGGTATTGAAATCTGAAGTGCACAAATACTACTGCGAGAACATTTACAAACTGGATGGAAGCCAGCGGAGGCATGGAGATAACACACATAAAGCACAAAGGTCAAGTGGATATTGATATATGACTTCTAAATGGGTGGTGTATTTAGAATATATATAAAAACACTAACAGATACTTGAACCTGGTGTTCATTTACTTATTGAAGGTACCATATTTAGAGCCATTACAGAATGAAGTATGAAGTAACAGAAATCTAAGTATCGTCTATATGGTACATCCTATTATTCTGCTTAGGGCAGACTTTGAAATGTAATGGTAAAAGCAATGCATTGATATTATGGAAACCTTAATTAAATCAACTCAGTGCAACATTTGACTTGACCTCAGACTGTTCTAAAGTTTGCATAAAAGGCTGAGGGAGTACAGCTTAAAGCATGACTTTTGTCTTTAAAAAATATGAATAATTTATGATAAATTATACATTAAAAGAAAATGCTCCAAATGTGGCATGCTCCCCAGGTTTTCAAATTGTTCATGAATACCCTTCAACAGCTATTCATTTTGACAGACTACACAAGTAACCAAATTCTGTGAGCATAATATCCTTTTAATTCTACAGTTCAGCATATTCAGGCAGGTTCAGCTCTTCCCTTAGCTAAACCTAAAGTGTAAAAGTCGTCATACAGATTAGAACTTACTACTCCATAATTAATGTAAGGTTGTTCTTGGATTCAAAGGCATCATAGAGCTGGATCAAATTGACGTGGTTTAATTGGTTCATGACACCAATTTCATTCTTGACTTCTTCCTTAATTAGAAAAAGAATAAATCAAAAAAGCATAAATCAGTACAAATGTGTTTAAAGTCACTCACTAAAAAGCTGCTATATAATTGCTCACTCTAAATCTGAAATAAAAGACATCACATGCAACATGCCAAATCTTTTAATAAGGCATTTGATAACAGTAGTGTATTGTATCATGCTTTAGGGTACAGAAGTCCAATAAATATTATAAAGTGTTTACCTTTTGATTATAATAATATCTATAATTTAAACAAAAAAAATAAAACAGAAATTCTGTTTTTCTGGCAGAGTTTACAATTTCACTGCAGTCAACATTTGCTTATACAAGCTCACACAGAATGGCCAGTACAGTATACCACAACAGTTTACTGAGCAATGCAAATCCGTCTCTGTTTCTGTGCTAACAGCAGGTGGCGCTAACAGCATCTATATCAAGAGTGCTGTGGATTAATATTAACTGTGCTTTACTGTTCGGATGTATTCTCCTGGATTCAACATGAATAGTGTTTTTTTCTTTTGCTCCACAAAGTGTTAGCTGGATTAACTATAAAGCCAAATGGTCATACAACTTTCCAGGGATACATTTAGTTAGGAAGCCTATGAGAGAGGATATTAACGGAAGAATGTGTCTGGCAAGAGGGGTGGAATTTGGCAGGATTGTAATGGTATATTTCAATTGTTTTTGTACTCCAGTTTAATCCCATCTCCAAAAGATATACAGGTTAGGTCTGATTGGCTGCTCTACATTGTGCCCAGATGGTTTACTTCCTGGGCTCTGTGAGCTAACTGATCACAACACTAAATGCTATCAGCTATTTTCTTAAAGTGTGTTCAACCATACATACTTTTCCCAGCTTTGCTTTTGGAAGAAGGCCCAATTATGTAGATGATACGTCATATGCTTGTGTAAGATTATGTTTTGTTCAAATGTCAGGATAAAAACAGTTACATTTCCACATAATAAAAACGTGTTCAAAAGATCATGAAGTACTGCCAGGAACTACAGTAGCTTTAATGAGAGAAGAAAAAAGTGCATAAACAAAGCCTGCTAAGTGATGTAATAAGACAGCTGTAATTCTTGTGATCTCTCATGCAATGATGAGAAAGAATTAGCAGTTGTATTTTCCATACAAAACTGCATTTTACCATAGAGTTTTACCATAAGTTTAAGCGGCTAAGTTAGCAAGTTCCAAGAGAAACCTGACCATCAATTCATGATAGCAAAACTATCCAGATATCTGTGATATAGTCCTTACCCTGTCTTTTGCACCTTTAACTTTTATTATCTTTGCTGCTAATGTGAGTCCAGAGGAGAGTTCTGCACACTTGACAACCTGGCCAAAGCGTCCCCTGACACAGAAAAGAAAATTTGCAGGTACTGTGATTCAAGACAGAGGGAGGCACATTTTGAAATGCTTCCAAGGACTTCACAAATATCAAGCCCCAAAACAGCATCTCTAAAACACAAAGCCCTTCACCCTGAGAATGTGATCTCTGAAAAATAAAATGCTGATTTTAGGCATCTGCATTTCCTGAAAAGAGAATGGTAATGGTTATCATTACACTCACAAAACGTATCCATTTTAAAATTAAGTGCTGTATAAATTAAATGTAAGCAACTCACTAAAGAAAGATCTGCAAACAGTTGTGCTTATCACTTACAAAAATAACTCTGTACATGACAATCAAACAGCAAGCCAGTACATTTATTTGAAGACCTCAAACAGGATTAACTTTGTCTTTCTTGCCAGTTGTTCACCCCTTATATGATGTGTCCAAGTGAATATAGAATGTCACGGAGTTGTGTGTGCCTGCCAATGTTTGGTTGCTTATTTGATAATGCTGGAAAGGAACCCTGTAAGTGCCCTTTTAATGTTACTTAGATCAACAAAGTCAGCAGAGGTAATTGAGCAGGTGTAGGCAAAGTATTTTTAACGCTAAATGGACAGAAAAAAATAACCTACCCCTTACTATTATGGCTCTGTTTGGGAAACAAATGCTACACTTGCCTGAGGCACAACACTCATCAAATCCTGAGCCATTTTTCATTAAGCATACTTTGTCTTTCCTGTTGTGAACTACTTTCATGTTTTTCTTCCAGAAAATGAACATAATTTGTAATGCAAGCCCTACACATTTTAAATGAAGAATGACTAAACAAAATGAAGTGATAATAATAATCTAACACTAAATGTTGTTAATATAATGATAAAAAGAAATGATTACTTTGCTAGAGGGCATTAGAGACAGAGAAATAAGGACGTAGACAACAAATGTATAATAATTTCCCAACATAGGGGGAACTTCCCCATGCTTACACACCATGTAGTGTTTAGTATCTTTACTTTGCATCCAAATATGTAATGCATTATTAAATAATATATTTACAAAACTCTAATACCTGCTATACATTTTTAATAAACAGGCACGTCTACAACGTTTCTCAATTTCCTGTTTAGTTCAGTCAATGCTGCTGTATCTGTGCTTTGTACACTTTCTTAAAAAAACTAGATTAGCCCAAGACAAAACAAATAGAACACTGTAAATTGTTTTAATTTCAACTCACCCTCCCAGCACTTCCTTATAACTGACAGTGTAATAAGAGCTAACTGGTAGTTGCTTTGTGCTCACAATGCGATGTTCAAAGGGTGCAGGCAAAGGAGGACTGTCATCTATGAAAATAATAAGGATAAAACTATTAGTCTTTGTAGTCATTCCTTTCCTAAGTGTGGGCACTAAAAGCATTTAATATATGAGACTAACCAATGACAATTAGTTCCTCCTCCTGGGAATTCTCAAGGGCAACAGCTAATGGATTAGCCTCTGAGGGCTCCTTATTGACTTGGTTCCCATTGGCTTCAGCTGCCTCAGGCTCTGCTGTTCCAGCAGACAACAGCTGGAATGGCTCACTTTGGGGATGACTAGGCAGCTGTTCAGCTTTATTTTCTGTGGCAGTGTTGCTGTCCATTTGTGGTCCATTATCCTTGGAGACCGGCTGGGCATTTGGCTTAGGCTGCTGTTTGACTGGAGAAACAGTTATATGTGACATTAAGGCACTTTTAAGATCTTTCTTACAGTACGAGTCATCATTTTTTGGTAATGATACAGCAGGTTTTGAGGATTTGTGTTGCTCCATCTCCTTGTGTTCCAAAGCAGCTCTTGATGGAAGTGTTGGAGGCTTTTCTTCAGATGAAGATTTTTTGCTTTGTAGCCCAGTCGCAGGAATGTTCTGTGTTGTGTCAGGTATTCTAAATAAAAGATGTTATAATTAGTGTACTCACCCGCCAAACCATACCAATTTATTTGTGACAGTTAGAAACTCTTTAAGGTTAGGTACATTATTTTAAAGTACTAAAAGGCAAATATGTATTTTTCCCTTTAAAATGTAGTTTTTAAGCAAACATTTTTCAGAGAGTAGATACATTAAAGAGCCAGATAGAGTGAAGCTTTTGTATATATGGTAACGATTTCAATGAAAACGTTTCTTTGAAAACTTTACAAACTCAATAACTTTTCAAAGAAAAATAGACTTGTGTGTTCTTTTTAGCTGAAACATGAAAAAACAAAATGCTCATTTTAGCTATAACAAAAATAACATTTCTATTTACACTGTGCTGTGTCAGTTGATGCTAACCGATTTTCTTTTGTTATTCCAATGATGAAGTACCTAAAGTCTACATATATACAGGTGAATAGACTGTCAGAAAACATTGTTACTACAGTGTCTTGTTGATTCATCAAACAACACCTCAATATCATGCACTGGTCAGTAAGATTCATACTCCAAACTACTAATGAGGAATAAAGTTACTTAGTACAGGTAAATAGAAAAGGTGTGGTTTTCTATTTTGAAATGTAGAAAAACGTTTTAAAAAATGTAGAAAGAATCTACGTCTGTACCTCTCCAGAGTCTCTGCAGCTTCCTTGTGGAGATCTTGTCCGGTACATGCTGTGACATCACTCTCAGGTTTGCAGGCTACAATAGTGATGTTAATATTTTCAACCTCTTCTGGCTGATGAATAGTCCCCTGTTCCTCTGTATTTACTCCAACGTTATGCGTCTCTTCAGTAAAAGTCTGAGTCTGAGTATGTTCCCTGCTCCTGATAGACGCCTTCTCGGGTAAGTGGGAAACTTTGGTTTTAGAGTCGCTGCTGGGAAGCTTGTCCGCAGCAGGGAGAATCTGTGCATTCTCATCGTACTGTGGGTGCTGTTTTTCATTTGGGGCCTGGGGGAGGGCAATGACGCTGTGTGCTTTTGTCTCCGCGGGGTTGTGGACTTGAGCTTCAGTAGTAGAAACTGCATCTGCATTTTCCACCTTAGGGATTTTCTCCACTCCTTTGTCATCTAGATGAATCAAAAAAGAAAGGTTTTAAATCTGAAGGCAGTTGGAAGGTTGTTTCTTATGAAGCATAGTGAGTATGTCCTTAGACTCATAACTGAGAGGTTGTGGGTTCAAGTACCCAGTGCAGACACTGCTATTGTACCTTGAGTTGTGGCTGTCCACACAGATGTGTAAGTGGAGACCAGCAGTGCTAGGAGTAATCCCTGTGATATGCTGATGTCTAATCCACAGTGGAGTCACATGCCTCTCTAGTCTACCTCATACTAGAGAAACCACAACAGGCTCTAGTCCAATGTGCTGTTGAGGCTTTGTTTGATACTTTTCCTTCTTCGTACTACGGCATTTGGCAAATGAATAATATTTTAAGAAAGACAAATACAATATGATGATATACTGTAATATAGCTGTTAAATTGTTTTCATGGTATTTTAAATGCAAAACCTGTATATTTCTCTTTTTTTCTGTTCTATTGCCAATGATAATGCCATCAAACTGGAAGACATTCAAGAAGAACAAGAAATGTATCTGCAGCATACCTTGAAAAGATCTCCTGATCTCAGCTTGAACAGCTCTATTGCTACATGCAGCTCTAGGTTTTGCACTTCTTTCTTCTGATTTGTCCTTTTTCTGCTCAGAAAATAAAAGATTTAAGACGGATTTAACATCTAATAATTATTTCAGACATGGGAAGCAATTGATTATGATAGCCTTAGTATCCCCACATCATGTATCTGTAATAACATTTTTTTGTAATAAAAGATTATATAATGTCATTATTTTTAAGAACATTAAACAATATTTTTATAAACTTTTATGCGTACGTAATATTCATTAGTACTATTTTATTTAGAATAAATTATTATGTCATGATTGATTTTATGACTCATTTTGATGCAAGGAATTATCTCACTGGCTTTTATAAAATGTTCTATTCTACTGAGTACAACTCAGTACTGTGGCCCGCATTTGCTTTTCTTCACTTCTTCCTAGTAATTGTGCTTTTCAGAGTGATTTGAATATAAAATTATTCATACTTAATATTGTAAGTAGACATCCTGTTATTTTATTAAATTGAAAAATAAAATTAAAAAATAATCTACATAACATATACTAATTCTCCAAAATCAAACATTTCCATCCACCCATCTTCATCATCAGAGACTTTTCTGACAAGCAACAGATGCAAGGCAGAGTGTACCCTGGACTTGACACCATCGCTGGGCAGACACACAGACAGACTCACACCAAGGGGCAGTTTTTCCAGAAAATAATTTACCTACCAATACGTCTTTGGACTGTGGGAGAAAGCCAGATCACCCAGGGAATGGATGATTTCAGTAACAGTAATTTAAACTACTGGATTTATACCGACATTTGTTTCCTGTATCACAAGAATGAAACTTACATTGTGATTGTGATTTGTGAGTTCATTGTTATTTGGTATTTACTACAAAATAGTCAGGCCTTCCATAGAAAAAAATATATCTGAATTGCTGATGGCCCTGTGACAAATCCAGAGAGCAGATAATCCAATAAGAAACCACTGTACAGGACTTAATTTTACAGCAAGCCATTATTACTGGGCATTACACTACATTCATTTGGTGGTTATTACTATCACGTTTGTCAATTTTTGCAGATTGTCCTGTTGAAATATTTGTCAATGCATAGATCTTCTGTTTTAACATGGAGGGTCACCAACTTTCATTAAATATTACTCACAATGGTCTCAACAGTAACTTCCAACTTATTCCTTTTTATAGTAGCAAAAAATATGTAATTATTTATTGTTACAAAGAACTTGGTTTAATGTTATATTTAAATACATCATTATCAACATCATATATTATCTTATTGAGATTATCCCCTTTATTAACAATCCCCTTTAATTTCCTAATTTCATTTTGTGCTATAGAAAAAGTTAATTAACAAGAGTAAATAACATTTCACTAAAGTACTAAAGCATGGTCTCTGATCTTTGAGTTACTTGATTGCCTTGAAAAGATAAAAGATCATATACTAATAGTAACTTTTTAATACTGTTTTCAAATGAGATTTTTTTAACACAAAGGCATGATCTCAAAATACGACTCATAAAATGGATTCAACTGTATGTTCATACCATATATCTACTCAGATATGTCTCAGTGTAAAGCTGTCATCTTATTCTAATTTGAATGTGCATGTATTAAAATGAAAAATCTAATTATATCAGAAAATGATAGTCATACCACTTCATTAGATTGATTTCATTTATGAAAAAAAGACAATTCTGTCTATTTGGAGTCATTTGTTTTGAAATTTCATGACATATTATAACTTGCATTTAACGGAATTAAGCAATAACATTAGCAAAAGTATAATCACAGGTAGGTGGTCCTAAAAATAAAAATTGTGAATCACTAAGAATTTTCATTCAAGAGAATTACATCACTAACATACTATGGTTATGATAGTGATGTAATATTGTCTTATTTAAACTACATATTTTTCATACATCTGCCCAGGCTGTTATGAATTTTTATTTATTTCATGAAAAGGAAGTACAAACAATTTAATTATCTGGAACAGTGGACAATAATGGAATCACTGATTAAGAAACTTCTTAATTCCTAGCAAATTGCTGGCAATGTTTTTAGGGTACAGTACAGGAGAAACTAAAAGGGCCACCGTCAAACTGAAGTTAATTTAACAAAAGCCATAATGTTAAACATCCTCTCATTGGCTTATGAATTGAATTTTTTATTTAGACTGTGAATAATATAAAATGTTTAGCTACGAACGGTGTGCTTTTTACACCTCACTGACCTCTTCGTTACTCTCAAGAAGACTGCCTTTTCTCCAGGGAACAGTGCCTTTGAGAATATATTCCACTATTTTTGAGCTTCTGAAGGTCTCACCAACAAATTTTATGACTTTGTTGATTGCGGAGACAGAGTGTTCAATCCCATCAATTTTCTCCCTTTGCTTTTTGCCGTCCTGTTGAAGACATTTCAACAGTTTCACGGTTTCGGTGTTCAGACTTCTAATCTCGCTGAAAAGAGTGGAGTCGCACTTTTGAAAACTCTCGGCGGTAACAGTAGGCTCCTTCATCAGCTGCAGTTTTGCCATGTCCTTTTCCAGGTTTCCAATTCCCTGATAAACCATATCTAGTTTCTTCAGGACGTCTCCTTGGCTACTCACTATCTTCTCCACCTTTGCATCCAAGACATTAAGTTTATTGTCCATGACGTTCAAGTTACTTATAACTTGACTGCTATTGGGCTTTTTGACAGCAGACCCAGCTCCAGAGTCCCCTGTGTTATCCCGTGTAGCCCCGTCATACATTTTAGCAATACAGGCAGCTAAAGACACTTGTTTACTCATTTTTTTCTAATAAAGCAAAGGAAACTGAAAAAAAAACCCAGAAGATTGGCACCTGTTTCACACTGTACCATGAACTGTTTCAGTTAATTTCTTTTTAGAGTTCCAGGTATAAAACTGTCTTCATGCCTCAATTCAGTTCAGTGTGGATTTGTTGTTTCTTAATGCCAGTGGCATGACACCACTTAAATAAACACCTCAGCTTTGATATGTTATCTGAAACTCTGTCCTTTTTTTTCTCCCAGGCTTTTTTAAACAACCTACCAGGCTCCACCAGAGCCAAGTTTTTTCTCCCCCTTTGACGTCACCAAATCATTTAAATCTGTTTCAGAAGAATCTGTTGATTGGTAGACATGTGAAGAATGACCTTTTCCAAAGCGCAGCCATCTGCCTGGGCAAAGAAAGATGTTTTATGCAACGCAAAGGTTGTTTCTTTTTTTTTCCCCCCTCAGCTGCAGTAGGGTTACTGCAGTGTCTTTTTCATTTGGCAGGATCATTTCGACACTGTGGTAACTGAATCAGTGGCCACTACAGTTGTTTTATGTAGCAGTCATGTAAATGGCATGTTCTAAAAGGGTATGAACGCAACTTTACAGTGGCTGACATCTTAGAATAAAAATAGACAAACAGGATAATGACATGAACATTTATAGGGGCACATTGCTAGACTGTGGAAAGCCCAAGCTGAAATCTTGGTAAGGACGTTTACTGAGGGGAGAATATTTTGTAGAAATTTTCAATGTAGCTTTTAATGACAGTCAATGCCTTGTCTTTTCCTCCAGTACCTGCTAAATGTCTGTAACGGAGTTAAGCAACTAGACACTATATTTTCTTCTCAAGGCCAAAGATGACAACTAAAGGTATCCTCAAAGTTATTTTTGTCGAAGCTATTTATCACTGAGATACAGCACTGGTGGTCATGTTTTTTGAATCGCTTTGCATCTGATGGTGTAAGCTGTGCCAAAGAGGCCAGTGTAAAGTGTTTTAACCCTCAGATTTACTCATAAAGTGTGTAGTGAGAAAATGACATACAGATACAGGAACACTAGGACAAGTTTTTAAACTAATAATTATATTTTTATTAGTAGTATAACTACTGTTACAAGTAATGCTTTTTTTTTTAGAATTGTACTGTTTCATGAAGGCACGCTTGAATAAATACTTAAAAATATTTTTTATTGTTTCTTCTAGCCATATTTTTTTCAATGTTTCAAAATCATTTTTAAAATTCTCTTCAGACACTGAACATGACTGGGTCAACATCACGTGTGAAATGGAGCGTCAGGGATTGATTCCCTATCATTGTTATTCAAAGGAAAAAGTGAGACTGTTCGGAACATAAAATTGGGAAGTTGTTAAGTATTGTATTCACTGAAAAATAAAAGGAACATCACTACTTTTTGCATTTGCTGTCTCCACAGAGTGTACTTCTTACTAGGTTTGTTTTGGGGCATAGATCAAATGGACAGAACCTGGAGGAATATGTGTTCCAGAATTAATATCCCCCAGGTTAGCAAGTCAGCAATATTGTAAGAAAGTGTACATTAAATGCAGGAAAGACTGCATGTAAAACATAATAAGTATTAAACCAGACTATCACAGGTTGTCCATTTTTTAAAGTGGATATAAAAACAGTCATTGTGAATTATTCCTTTCCCAATATGAATGGGCAGCATTTAATCTTGGCAAATTGCAGTTACTGTGCTTGGAGTCCAATCTGTTTATATTTGGGCTGCTTAGAGAAGCAAAACATACCTCATGAATACATTTTATTACCTTTAAAATGTCCATGAATGACCCCTGGCATTAAAGTGAAATGTCAATCACAGACACCAAGCATTGGCTGCATTGCTTTAGAGCAGGGGCTTTTAACCCTGGTCCTGGAGGACTGCTGTGCTTTCTGCTTCTCATTCCAGCTGAGCTCTCAGTTACATAATTAATTCCATAATTGCATGCTTAACCAGACCTTTGTCCTTGCAAGACTCAAATATGAAAAGGCCAGGCTGTGCAAATTAAGGCGTCAATATAGGAAACGGAAAACCTCCTTTGTCATCCTAAAAATCATAAATTTATCTCTGATACTTGTGAAAGAAAAAAATCTATTCAATCATCTCAAAATATTACAGATCTACATTTACAAATAGGTTGTAGAGACTGTATAGAGCTGGGCAGTTGGGAAAATAATAACTGAAAACAGGATTCAAGATAATGTTAGTAAGGAGCTAAAGCTTTTTGGACTGTTCACAGGAACAAATTGATTGGAGCAAAGGCTAGGTCTGAGAAAAGCAATGTTCCTTGACTGTCTTCATGACTTGTCCTTGTACATATTTAACATGGCTCACTATTTGTCTAAAGGCCTTAGTGGAAATGTAATTCATTCCTTCATTGTGCATCCAAAGGGGACAAAGCCAAATTTGAAACATTTATAATAATCATCTAGCAGGTTGCAATTTGTATTCTGGAATCGTGACATAAAATACATTGAACTTTCTGTTCTCCTGTCTTGTGAATAATTACACAAACTATTTTTTAGAAGATGACAATGGCTTCCTACATTTAAGAAACACTTACAGTAAATGCCTACAAAATGCTGCCTGACGGAACTGATATTGTCCCACACTATAATATGAATAACATATTAACTTAAGAAATTGTTTTAAATGCCATTTTTTAAAAGGTAAAGAATATCTGAAGTGAAATGCACAGTACACAAAAAACACAAACATTTTTAACAATATGCTCCCTTACCCAGACAGTCTCAGGCCATAAAGAGATGCCTTTTAGCCACAGAGGCTAACTGAATATTTACTTGATTTTCATTTGACAAAATGACTCAGAAAAGAAAATCAACATTTGTTTAGATTCCTGCACCACAATAACCTCACCTCTTATCATAAATATTTTTTTTTCCTTTAAGACTACATTCATGTAGAATAATTCATAGCATATTTAGCAGAAATGAAGGTTACCAGAAGAAATGTTATTAATAAGTTTCAGCAAATGGCTACTTGTGAGCTATTATATTAATTAAACACTCACTGTGGTATTAACCTACAAATGATTTCTAACACCGTGAACAATTCAGACATAGTTTAATATACTTCAGTAAGACCTCTCTATTTGTAGTTATAATTGGAACTATGTTACCATGTTTAAATGATAGTCATCAATACCCCTAATGAGCCTTTCTTGTATTTAGAAAGACTACAAAAATACTATGGTAAAGGCACAGGGTAAATAGACACAATGAATTAATAACACATGGTTCATGTTATAAAAATGGCAAAATTGAGGGAGGTATAATAAATCATGGTAAAACCCATGACAAAGCAGTGTAAATATACAGCAGAGGAAACAACTAAAAATAATATAAACTTTTTAACATGGTAAACTTTAATAATACATATATTTCAGTCTGGATGGCAAATTGAGCTTCCTTAAACTGTACTTCAATTAAAAAAAATAGGATTATAGGTCAAATCATCTACAGAAAGACAAAACTAGATGGGAGGGGTGAAATAGAAATAAATGTTTGCACTAAATTAAAAACCACTGATACATTTTAATATGTATGCACTTGCAAAATTATTCTCAGTCTTCTGATCAATACAAATTCCGAACAAGATCCTAAACTAAGATGAACTTATTTGGCAATTTGGCAATTAACAATCTAGAATTTTGAGCTTCAATTATATTTTACATGGTAAAAACCGTTGTTTGTTTACATTAAGGACTGGAAAATAAACTGGAATTTAACATCACTAGCACTGGTAATGCTATTACAATAGACAAATGAACAGTCATGTATACATTTACGGATGCCAACTGCTTTAACAAGAATGAGGCAGTGTTAAGGCAATGTTTGTGTTTATCTGTACTTCATACTACACATTCCTCAGATTCTGACCACTGTATCTTGAACACAGATTTCTTGTTTGATCTTTCCTTCCTTTAAATTTAAGTATCAGTCAAGTTAAAATGTAATTGAGAGTGTAGTGTAGCACCGATAACTATAAAAAATGTAACAATAAAATGAATCTGATAACTCAGTCACATGGGATTTATGGTTCAATAATCAGAATAAACCCTTCTTACCAAAGATGTTATTTTACTACACCTGCATGGAGATGGCTCTTAACTAAAATCTTAAATCAATTTAAGTTCATACTTGTTTGTTTTGTTTTTCTGCTTTATTCTTCATTTCTGTAAATGGAAGATAAAAATGAAAAGTGCATACAGTACGAGACAAAAAAGTTATCTTTTACTGATCCATTCTAAATCACTCCAAGAATTGTCTTCAGTAATAGGTACACACAAATATAAACCAGTTTTACTTTCAGCAGAAATAAAACAGCAGTAAAGTGTTGGATATTATTACAATTAATCACATCACAAAATATGCAAATAGCAGTAAAACATTTTCTTACCGTAAATCTTTGTATATAGTCCGAAACACTAAATCCTGCAGTGCTAAGTAAGAGAGATCTGTAGAGAGAGGTCCCCATTACTTTTTTCAATGCATTATTTCAGGTCTGTCAGTCACTGTCTGCATTCTAAGTAGGAAACAAAATTAGGCCCAGGGTGCAATTAAACATTCTGAACTAACTGCATGATGCTAGACAGACACTTTATCTTATCAAACACTTCACGAAGTATTCATAACATCCCATTCTGATAACAATGGAGCTCCACCACAGCAACACACATATCTTAGCTACTTCCTGCAAAAGATAACAGCTGTTTCAGATTAAAACAAGTATTTAGGAAATATGAGAGTCCATCTATTAATAGGTCCAGATTTCGTATTGTTTGGATAATTTCTAGGCAGGGCTTTCCTTTATTACTGAGAACATAAGCGTTTTAATCACCTATCATGATCTAATAAACAGTGGGATATGTATACTATTCAAAACAGCAAGTCTGTCCTGATGTGTTGTTTTCTATATCAATGATGCAAAGAATTCTGTGACTGAACACCAACCATCATCTCATCTGAGGATTCAAGGGGAATATCAATGGTAATGTAGTCACCCAAGGGGTTTAATACAGGGATTAATCAATGTTACTTTTCATGGTTAATATTATGTGACTAGTGACTTTCAATGTTTTGCATTAAAATAACACAGTCACTGTGTTAAATAAAGAAATCCCTGACAAGACATTATTACATTTTGTTACTGTTTTGGTTTTCTGTTACAGTTTGAAATTTCTGAAATAATTTGAAATATACAAATGCATAATGTATCATGCTGTATATCCACAGGGGTGGCTTTAAATCTTTATTACCTGTTTTGGAATGTGTCATTTTCCATTATTCCCAGCCAAGGACACATGGAAACTGATATTCTGGACTTTTAACTACGTTTTAATATAACAAACAAAAACATGTCAATCACCCTAGTAAAGATCTGGAAAGTACTCACACCATTTTCAGCATATCAGTATTTTTAGAGCATTATCTACAGGGCTTGGTGTCCATTAGGATAAGTGGAAGCTTTCTGTGGAACCACTTTTGCAGTACATACTTATACATTGACATCATATAGTATATATATATATCTGTGCGTCTGAATTTTGAAAATCTCAGTTACAGCTGACACAGTTCAAACTGTTGAAAAATTCTGAAAAGAAAAGATGCAGGGTATCAGAGGTGCTGCTTTTGAAAATGATGAAAGGTTTTATAAAGACAAGAGAAGTTAATCTCCTTTTCAAGACTGTATTACTTATTTATAATGCCTGCACTTATACTTCAGATGTCCAGGACACAGTCTGCTTGGTTTCCTGTATTTATTCCCTTATGCAAACAGAAACTTTCAGCTCACCTTGTTCTTCTCACCACACAAAACATCCACTCTAGCTCTGCCTACAATAAAATCCATTCACTCCCTGGATACACCTTCAGAGCCGTATTGAATATTTCAAGCAATGCCTTGAAGCTTAGCAGTTGTAAATCTGCCATTTTAGATTTGTCTTTGCTTTTAATTTGCATTATTTAAGCCCCAGTTACAGAGATCAAAGATTTGTGAGAAGCTCCTTTTCTTCTTGTTTTTGAGGCAGACGTTAAGGCACAATTTATACTGATTTACCATACTACTCCAGAAGCCCTCTTAATGACACTTCGCACTTTTCATGTTTTTTAAACAAGCAGGGCTTTTCACATTATCTCAGCTACTGCAGGTCTTCAATACGCTTGAATGCAAATCTCCAGCAATGGGTTAAGCCATTTTTTATTAATTTACAGAATTGAAAGCTTCAAAAAGGGATCTTTTTTGGAGTTGATTTGTTGGTTCCATAACCTCAAATATAAGATATGTTTACCTTAACAGTACTGTACTCCAGAAGTAAGTTAACTCAAAGCAAATTAGTTGATAAGTAAAAAAAACTGAAGGAACTGAAACTTTATTCAAGACTTAAATATTTGAGTTAGAGACCAATAGGTCTTCAAAATGCATTAAATGTAGTGAACAAGAACCACATATCCTAATCCCCTCATTTAACTCACCTAATATTTTTTTCATCAACACAGACTAAATATATCAGGCCTATTGCAGCAGAATAACCTCTTAAAATGAAATCAAGCTTATATATTGAAAGCATAATAGAAAACAGACCAAATCTGATCAAATCTCCTTCTAAATATTCAGCAAATGTTTATGCAAAACGTTTCTTTAAAAAATATTTTAATGCTGAAGATAAGGCTCTATTAATTGAAAGGTTGAATTCACTAATTTTAAGTTGCAGTGAGGTCATGTTTGTGAATTACATGACACAGACCACGACAGAAGCCCATAAGAAAAAGTTACACAGGGACAAAGGGAGAAGCAGGTGAGCTGATCTATGTCATGCCTGTGCTACAAACAGCGCTGGCATGAGTGGTTTTTTTGTACATACACACCGTATACACAGAACTGCGTGTCTGGAAATAGACATCACTATCGCATGCTCATGGGAAGCTTTGTTTCCAAAATACTACTCCTCTGACCTTGGTCTACATGCAAACACCCTCAGTAGTGATATTTCACAGGTGGTGGGATTTTACAAGTTTAAACAACAGCTAAATACCAGTGATAAAACTGCAGGAACACATAGGTCACAAGTTGATCAAAAACTTCCCAGCAGGCATGAAGCTGGTAATCCCATGCGACAGACAAAAACGAATAACAATACATTCCCACAGACAGCCCTGTTGTGTAGACAAAGGTAACAAGCAAATACGAACCGCAATCCGACACCGACTGAAGGATTTGACCCTGACTGCTATGGTCAATGGAGCAGGGGACATACAGTACTGTAGTTTTGCCATGTTCCAGTTACTGAAGGGGGAAGAGAATACTTACAATAGGTGTTACTTGTAGTTGCAAGATGGATATTTCTTCAAAGAGTAATCCTGGGGTTTTCAGGACACCAGTGCAGATCTCCACATTCAGTGAAAAAACAATTCAATCCTTTGTTTTCTCTGTGATATTATGTGCCATTTGTCTTGAGAAAACACATACAAGGCATAAATCACCCACTTACACTTAACAGTAACATGAAAAGTGTCTCAAGCTATATATTGCTGGTACTCATAGAAAGTTTGGAGTAAATACTATATTTCTTGGCTTTTTTTGCTTAATGTTTACTGTCCTTTTATTGTTTGGGTGTCAACTACAGACTCTTTGGTCCTCAGGCTGACAACATTGTGTTACTCGATCGCCCTCTTGTGGTACATAAAGAGACAACTCTTTGAAAGCGCCAATGTTCCTAATTCAACCTCCATATTTTCAGACAAACATACACATATAAGCATGTATAGAAGAACATTAAGAAAATAGCTTCGAAATGGAAAAAGTAATTGTTAAAACTGTAATACTAAATTCTGGGAATTGTTTTTCAACTTGGAGCCAAAATTGTTATTCAGAATTTAAGCTGTTTTCTTTTCTAAGTGTTCTCAAAAACTGCCAAATTTACAAACTTTTGGCATGTGCTGAGGTTTCTCAAAGGTGTTTTAAAAATCTTTTGTTCTTTAAGAAAAAAAATTTGACACAAAACTGTCCTCAAATACCACCGAACACTGGGCTATGAGCTTTCACTTACCCAGCAATAGCAAATAAAGCAATATCTGTGCTGAGAAACTGTCAGACTGAACTCATCTTTGTTGCTAAGCAACAGAAATAGAGAACACATGGCAAACACTATAAGTGTTGTTCAATGTCGCTGAATATTTGGCTGAACAAAGGATTTATAGAAAAGATTACTTAGACCATCTATAAAAAATGTAGAACTGAATTTTATTTCAGTTAAATGTTTTAGATATATATTCATAGCCATAACAGATAACAGAGAATGATTAAGTTATCTTGTTCATAGTATTCTATATATTCTTGGTCGACCTCTGATTACTCAGTGCAAAATGGGCTACGGAAATCTGCATGAAAGAAGCAGCAGCTCACTGAAGAAAAGAAAATCAATCAAATGCAATGTAAATCAAGCCTAAACAAACTCCTGGGAGTTACTGTCATTTCCTTTCCCTCCCAAAGCATGGGAAACCATTTGTGCACTCAATAGCTTGATCAGAGCAACTTCTGAAGAATGGAAAAAACATCTCCATTCTTACAGCTTTTTTCTTATATTCTTCAACTCAAGGTCTTAAAAAAGGCTATGACCATCCAGCTGGGATTAACATACCTCAAACTGCAGTATTTCCTACAGTTGTGAATTCAGCCATTTGAAAGTTCTTTAAAGGTGGTGTCTTGAAATGGCCTTTAAAACATTTCTTTTTGTTGGTGTTCTGAAAACCTTCAAGATTTTTAACATTGTGAGAATCTCTCTCGATATTTTCTAAAGCCTTGTTCTACTTTTAAGCAATATTTAACAAAGGGTTTGTTCAGATTTCTTGCATGTAAGCTTTATCAATCCAAATTTTGAAATGTTTATATATAAATGAATATAGTTTGTGATTTTATTTAATGAAAACATACTTCAACGGGTTTATTTTTATTATGGAGTTCATTCTCAAAATGGTTAATAAGTCAAAGCACTTGTGTGCCTCAATTGTCTGATTTAAGACTATTTTGTGAACAAGCGGATTTAGGAAACATTTCAGCTCGTTGAACAATATGTGAACATGGACTATTAGTGGGTCGAAGAGAGAGAGAGGACTGCAGCTGTTCTTAGTTTGCTGACAATGACAACAAAAAAGTCCTAAATAGCTGGTTAATGGTGGAGGTAACAATGGTAAATACTTTAGAAGCACATGAGATAGAGTGGTTAATGAATGACAACTTGATAAGTTGCAAGACGTTAAGCCTGCATACAGAAGAATTATAATAAGGAATATTTACATTCAGCTTGTACTTTTAAAAATTTTATCCAGAAACGATCTTACTCCTTTCCCCATTTATCATGCTAAAAACAGCCATGAATAAATAAAGAACACTTACAAAAATACACTCAAATGTATTTCTTGCTGACATACTTTCATATTCATTTTTTTAATGAGCAAATTAGATATTTGCATTCCTAAATTTGCAAAGGTATGTCGTCAGGAGTACATTACTACACCAGTGGAAACTGTAAAAACAAACAAGGCCCTATGTCAAACAGTAGAATAGAGACATCCCTTAAAATAAAAGCAAAGTATGGCATTACATTTCTACAATTCTAAATTTAAGCAGTGACTAATACTTCCCGGAGCAGTCATTTGGTAGTTTGCATTTTATGTTTAAATGGACTGTATAAGAAATGTATTTATTCACCACAAATTTATTATTTTAAGAAAATTTCTTCAGATGCGTCACCATTACATCATTACCACCTTTTCAAAGTCTTTGATTTACTCCATCTTTGTGAAAATAAAGATGAGATTAAGACTAGCAGAGACATGCTTCTGAATAAGAAATGAATTTACTAAAGCCTAGGAGTTTCCTGCCCTGGCAGGCAAAAAAGAGGCTTCATGTTACCACAGTCTCTCTTAACTTTTTAAAGCTATTAGTAAGGATGGTTAAATCCAGTCATTCCACTCATTTACACTAAATACCTGTAGAGAATACATTTCACACACCTATGCTTCACCAAACTGACATTTTATTACATTTAATAATAATCCTGGCTATTTATGTCAGATTATGCAATGATTTCACATTAAAATGAAATCTCTGTCAGAAAGAGTGTACAAACAGCTGTGTTCAACTGCTTGTGTAAACACACAGAACAAAGTATTCTTCAAAACTCCTACTCTGCAGTAACTGAATAGCAACAGCACTGCAAAATAACCACAATGTTTTTACTTTATTTAACAACCAATTCCAGATTTATCCTCTGCCAAAAGGACAAAACTTTACGGTTTGAGAAAACTGTAAACATTATCCAACAATTACAAAACTCACAGAATAAGGTTTTGATTTAATTACATGTAGATACAGGTTAAAACCTGCAAAATGTTGTGTGGTAAAAGAAAAATGCATTAGAAATGCTATAATGTTTTACACCGTTTTAAAAAATACACAACTTAACTGGAAAAAAAATCCTTTCACATGTTAGGAGAGAATTCATGGTTCTCCAAAACATTTTTCTACAATGAACAGCTCACTCCATTTCTTTGCAAACTAGATCTTCTGTCTGTTAATTGTTTTTTTTTTTAAAGCTGGAAATCAAAATAACTGGAACATGCGGAAAAACCAATAATTCATGTTGCATGCAAAAGCTTGTAAGTAAATCATCCATCCAACACAATCACCACATGCACAGCAGTTAAAAGCAAAAAAAGAACATTCTTTTCAAGTCGGTATGTACTGTAACTATTAAAAGGAACTTAAGCAGTTATCTTTTTAAACATTCAATTTATTAAAGAACAGAGCAAATATTTTAAAAACAATCTGTGAGATTATATATTTGTGAAAACAGAATAAAACCCAAATTAAGAAGGTGTGGGTGTAATAAATAGAACGGTCTTCCCAAAATCTACACATAATACATAAGCATCTATCAAATGTCATGGTTCAACTGCACCTAAACTTTATGATAATCAGAAAGCCGTACAGAGGAGTAAACCTTTAAGAATTGCCTTTTCTGCACTAAATTTGGTATAGTACCGAAATTCTCTTCAAGTGTTTCCCCCAAGTACAAAATTAAATATACAGAAAAAAAGATTTCCATATGATAAATCTTAGACTTTTTAAGCACAACAAATACACAATATTTTTAAAAATCTGATTTAAAAGTAAAAAAATGTATTTCCTAATACATTGTTAGGAAACTATTCAAAATAGCAGTAATTTATGCATACAAATGCATACCCAGTACCCACATTCCTAGTGTGCAAGCTGAGCAAGTCCTTCATAAAACGACAGAACTTCTGGGTCAAAATTCACCCAACTAGGTCCTCTGTGGTCATTCACAATTTTCTGCAGCTCAAGTCCTGAGTAGCTTCATTTCGTGGTCAATCCGTTACAAACTGGTATTACAAAATCAGTCTCTGACCAATAATTTTTCTGTTGATTTCAGCCAAAGCCACCGAAAAAACAAAGGCTTTTTCATCTGAAAGATTGGCATAAATATCAATCTCTTTTTCTTGTTTTTCTGAAAAGAACAAAACAAAAGGAAAAAAGTGAAATTCACAAATAATGCCAAGTTAACAGTATACAGCAGAAGCAGATCAATAAAGTTGCATCATCAAATTAAAATTAATTATGGCAAATGACTGTAAAAGAAAGTCTCATGTTATGCTCAAAGCAAGCTGGTAAAATAAAACTTCTCCTAGGGATATCATGATTAATTCACCAGCCATGCAGCAGCAGAGAGACTACTTTGTAAATCATTAATCTGAACAAACTGTCCAAGCCAAGCTGTACTGAATCACAAAGACTCGCTTCTTACACAACATTAAAGCAACAACATTGTAAAATGGTACTGTACAAATAGGCTTAACGGCTAAATTGATCAAAAACTCCAAACGTAACTAGAATCATCTTTCTTTACACTGAATAATGCAAAAGCTTACATTTTGAAAAACACAACCAAAAGATGTTTTTTTTAAGCCGAGTGAGTGATCATAACGCTAACATTAGTGTGTGTGAACATGTCAGCTAATCAGGGGAAAAAAACAACCTTCTGTACTGAGAACTGAGGAAACCACAAAGTTGCGTATTTTGCATTATCAGTGTATATACAGTACTCACCCATATTGCTAAACTAAGGGTTGGTACAATAATGGACTTTAAACAATATTCAATTTAGTCAAATGGGGAAAACATTTCTGTTCACCACCATTAATCATTTGCATTAAGAACATTTTGGCTGCACATCCATGACTCTTGATTTAGGAATTCATTTAACTATGATAATATGATTAATGAAAATGCACACAGTTTAAATGTAAATGGGTCATAGTATATTGCTGCTAAATTTCAAAGACGGTTATAAAGTACTAAATCCAAATTAGCACTATGTCCATACAGACATTTAAGATCATTCTATTATCCATTAACTATCCGTTGACCAACATACCTAAATTAATTCAACAATTTGTTCTGGTTTTTGTTTTTTGCCTAATGATGGAATATTTTTTTCAAACTACTGAAAGTGTGGGCTTCAAAAATCACTTGACTATTCATTGATAAGCATGTTGTCAAAATGAAAACAGCCTAAAGTACATGCTATCGACAGTGAACGTAAAATTGTTGTTCTACTTCAGGATTTTGACAGACACGAATGTTACCTTTTTCATCCTCGTGTTTTTTATGGGTTGTTGTTTTTGGCCTGCCCCTTCCTCTGCGGATGTGCTCCGATTGGCTGTTGGAACGAGAGCGCTTTCTGTTTTCCATGTCTTTGTTTGTAGCCGAGTTTATCTTCTCTCTGCGTATCCTCTCTGTTCTTCTCCTCTTCGCATCTGATTTATCTGAAAATATGCCACATTACAAATAATGAAGCTTTCTTAATTATTTAACAAGATCAAGAGCGTAAAGCATTTATAAACCACAAAATAAAACTGATTCACCTCTCCTTACTTAAAACTTAAATTAAGGACTGAAAGCCCTCCCCATGGACATTTTCAAAAACCACCAGAGAAAAAGTGCAGGAACATAGTTCATTCTGGGATTTCATTATTACTTCAATCGTAAAAGTTTTTAATACTAAAATTTGTAATAAAGAACCTCTGTGGTTTTGTAGATTCCCTTGCTTTTCCTATGACTCATGAGCCACAGTCTACTGGTCCTTAACTTACACATAGAATCTCCTAATACTTTCAGCTGTCCTTCAAGACAAACATTCTTTTCATTAAGAAAATAAAACCATTATAACTTGACTAAGAAATGGTTCCAATTCTATGGAAAAAAACATTTTTCAACATTATAAATGTTAATGCGCATAAAGTGGTTTAACAACATTCAGAATGATTTTACTCAAAGAGGTGCTACATACTGAATAAGATGCACATTTATAGGGATACTTTTAAAATTTAACATTGTTGAGCGATACAAACAGTTTGGGGAAAAAAACAACTTCAATATTTATGGAAGCTTGTTTTGTATATCACTTAGTCTTAACTCGGCTCTACACATTAAGATTACTACTGCATGTAAAGCAGGAACAAAGGCCTTTTTGAAGAGATCATAGATATGACTAATGTGTTTGCTTAAGGTTGTCTCTCAACCTTAAGACTGCATCACCTCACATCAAGCAAACAGTTGTATCTCAAACAAAGAATATTTAAGAATATGAAAGACACTTCCATCATTGTTCCTTATTTTCTGCCTGTTTTGTTGTTCCTTATTTGAAGTCTAACAATATCACATTGTAACAATAAAGCTGAAGAAAACATACTTTCCTTTCAACATAAGTCATAATAGAGCCCATGGCCTTGTTCACACAAGATACTATATCCAACTTCCTGGTTAAATTCCATTTTGGGTTTGCACACCCTATCCTCCCTGAGATGTCAATTTAATTCAATTGGAGATGTTATACCTCATTTCTCCACCTGAACTGCTGTATTGTGGGGTTACTGTGTTTCAGCAATGTAGGTGCTGCAATTCAGTGGTGGGCAGGGTGGCCCCCTCCTACAGTATATATGTGGCTATTCAGAACCCACTGGGATAGAAAGCAGTATACAAATTCAAACATTCTATCCAATTTTCCGAGAAACACCGACACACAAGCTTATTTACTGCTGCTTCCGTTACACAGATTTAGGACAAACGGCGCACACAAGAAAAAAGAAACATCCCCAGAAGCCTGTTCCATCAAAAAATGTTTCTGTAAACTTTCAAGTTTCAAGAGACCTTCAGGTGGCACATAACCAATCCTGTCCTACGTCTTCTAGCTTTTTGAAGGCTTTTTTTTCTTTTTAAAGCTAAATTTTGTTGAAGTTTCCAATGAGGTTCTAATTATTTCCACGTAAAACAGACTTGGTTTAGCAGGGCAGACAACACTAAAAATTCCACAAAATAAATCAAACTCCTCTTCTGCTCAAGGAACAGCAAAAAGAAAAAAAGGCAAAGTACACAACGTTTTGGCTGTGGATAATTTATGTATTTCACACTTTTGCTTTTGACGTTCCAGTGTGGAATTAACCTCTACTTATTCCTCTTCCAGCACAGAGTGCTGATTCAGCTCTCTGCTCTAATCTCTCCTGTCTGCCACTGGACAAGCTGTGTGACTGAGGAGCTTGTACTCAGAATTGTCTCCTTACTGGCCATAGGTAAGATGTTACCTGAATCAGAAGGCAGGTCTACCGTTAGAAACATTTACTTCTGGAAGCACAGAAACCAACAGCATACACAAGAAAACATTGTGTCTGGAAATGTGTTTAATGTAAGTATATTAGCCTTTTACCTTCTCAGTGTTGCCAGATTGAGATGTTGCACAGTTATATTATACTACTGTAAACCATCAATTATTTTTCAGGTTGTAGTACATACTTGAGGTTTCAATCTGGTGCATTTTCAAAATACCAGGCTTAGAATATGAGTCTGTTAAACTTTTCAAAGAGGTTTTTTTAGTTGATTTCTTATGGAGCACTATGATAAAGGCCATTTTCAACCTAGAGGAAAGTAAACTAGCACTGAAATTTAACCCCCAAAACAGAACACTGTCAGAAAAGAGAAGTGAGTTTAACTCCTCCTTTGAAAAAAAGACAACATGTTACATTAAATGGTTTGACTGTAATCTGAGCTACCTTTACTACTGGAAAGAAAACAGCATTCCAGCCTTCATCAACACAGGAAGCTACTTAATTATCAAAGGAAAACTTTTTATTCTGCATAATGACAGAAATAATACAAGACATTAGAACTGAAAAAACCTTCTTCCAGTACTTTGAATACAAACCTACACAGATTAAGCAACAAATCATGTAAAAAATAACATTTTAAATATTGTAACCAAACATTTCAAACGAGAAGCAGTCATAACCTAATTAAAATATCCTGAAAGTCTGACACTGATTATTTGAAAACAGCAGTAATAACCTTAGTAATCTGATTGCTACATTTACCAGCTCATTAAAAAAAAAGTTATTTGAATTTAATTTTAAAAGATATTTAAAGCTGTACTTTAAAGAACACCATATTAAAGATCTTAAACATTCTTCATAAATGAAGTAAGAAAAATAAGTGAAAGGTGAAAAGTATAAAATGAATAGTTCTCAAATGTTAATATTGCTAAATAAAACTACAGTGAATGAATGAGCTCTCTTGATGGGATTCAAATTGTAACTTTAAGACAGGAGAATGGAAAGAATTAGGGTACATGCAGAGTGAGAGCATTAGCCTGGAATTAAAAATGAAAGTCCCATCCCCCACCTCTCCCTGTATTCACTCATGAAAAGTGTTGTCAGCCTTTAAGCCACTGCAAATTGCACACTAATTTGAAAACTTGAGAGACAGCCGTTACTTACTTTTAAATATTTATGATTGCTTCACAAAAGATGCCAAGACAGATAAAACTAGCCTGTGCAAAAGCACACAAAAATCTTCAACAGGACCCTGCATTTACAAACCTGACAAGTCTAAAATCTTACAATAGTCATTTGTATTTCAAGTTTAATACAAATGCTTAAAAAAATAAACTAACATTTTCATTATCAGATGTGCTTAGTACAAGCAGCAAATATGTACTCAATTTAAAAACCAAGAACTGCGTTAGGTCTACACCCTAACTGAATAATTAAATCAGTAGAAGGCTTTTTCTGTTTTAAACTTTAAGAACATTTTTGTGGCCTATTGTCACCATCATCTCTATTACTAGCTCTCACACAGAAATACACACACACACTGATGTAACTACCACGTGGTTAGGACAATGGTTCATACCAGTCATATTTGATTAATCTAAACAAGGGAAGTTCGTTGACAATAACTATACACTGTGAATTGTATTACTCTATTAACTCTATGAATCGTAACCATATCTAAGTGCAGAAGTACAGTCACATACCTCGTTCAAAATAGCAATTAAAAGACAGAATAGCTTTGATATTACAATAAAACGTCTCATTTTCAATCGTCTTCGTTTAGTGATGCTTGTTAATCATGGAGAAAACTTGTAATTACCTATTGCTGGTGGCGATTTCTCAGATTGTTTGGCGTTCAGAAGTTTTCGGCTAATGAACACATAGCCACAGGGACATGACTTGCATGCTACAGGAATCTGATAAAAATTGAAAAGAATAACTTTAAGCACTGGCGCCCTTTGTTTATGCCATCGGTTAAATTTAAATGCACTACATCTTTATCACTCAAGATTAACAATGCTGGAGGATTATACACCTATTTTACACTGAAACTGTTGGCTGTAAACTCTGAAAATCAGTTTAACTGCATAAAGTACAGACAGGTTCCACGTAATATCGTTTAAGCAGTAAATTACATTTCTCTGCGCTTTCATTTTGGCGTCATGTGCGAGTTCGTATTAGTACAAAACCACCACTAGAAATCTGGACTGTCGCCAATTTACAAAAGTAATGATTGCTATATAAAAAGTGAAGATGACGTAAATATCATTATAATCTAACAAATAAGAATGTAAGTAACGCAGTAGTTCAAAGATATTAACCACTGCAGACGAAAGGTTCAATTTCAAGCCGTATAGATTTACTACCCGAGACATACAGGAAAGCAATTTAGAGATTTTTTTTTATTCTTCCGAAATTAAAACTTCCATATTTTAAGCATGTTATTGTATTGTTTACTAGAACAACTCATTATGCGAGCAATGCGACCTTCCGATGAAAAAAAATTGATGACGTATTGTAAGATTAATATTATCTACCCGACAGTATATTCATAAGAATCTATTTTATATTGCAAGGCAGGAAATGGCAAGACCATAGCACCGACTGGTTCCTAAACTGTAATAACTATGCATTCATTCAAAATTAAACATTTCCACGAAGGCTGTTATTAAATATACATACCACACGTATCAGTGTATCTGAATGCAAAATGTCATTTAATGTAAAAATAACCATTGTGATATCCTTGAAAACTATCCTCCTCACACCCAACCATTATAAGTCCAACTTCTGTTTACATGCATAGTTTCCTTTCGTACTAGCCGAGCAACCTCCGTATAGCCCAGCTAGACTGCTAAATTAAAAAGTAAAATAATAAATGCAGGCATAATTTCTCACCTGTTGATCGCATTCAGGACACGATTTGGTAGCCATTTTAACTTTCTTGGCTTTATTTACCGACATTCTCTGTCTCTTTGTTGGGTGCTTATATTTAACGCGTACTTCAATCCCAGCAATATTGCACTGAAATTTCAGCCCGCTGCTCTCCCAGCAACGATGAAGTGCAGCTGATCCGACCCGAGAGCTCCAACACTCACCAACCCGACATCAATCACACCGAAACACTGGCCATGCGCACTGCGAGCGCGGAGACCTTCATTCGCTTTTTTTCCCCCAATACTGTAGCAGCAGGCATGCGCAAGACTTCAATAGGGGGGGGGGGAAACTTACAAAATACATTTTGTGTTTTTAGCGTTGAAACTCCGTGCTCTCCACAGAGCATGCGTTTAGGTTCTGACCTTGTCTCATTGCCAAAGAGCAACGACTGCTGAACACAAGGAAATAAACACTAAGTACCCCTTGTATCGTTGTTGCTATCATATTTGTTTTTGTATGCGGTAAATAAAAAAAAAAACTGCTGTGCCAAATGTCTGTTGAAGACAACGCTGAAGTGCCGGTTATTAAATATTAAATGCAATGCCAATATTAAAATTATTTCAACTTTAAACATACACAAATGTGGACTTTCTTAAACGCTACCATTTTATTAATTTGCCTTATAAATTCAATTTACCTTAAAACTAAAAAGTGATTTAAATTCTTAAAATATTGATTTTAGACGTTTCTCGGGCTGAAAAAATGCTTATCTTTCAAACCAAGAACAGTTAAACTAGATTAGCAGAGTAGCCCATCCCCCATACATTATATACTGGAAACATGCTGTAGCCATAGGCAACTCAGCTGTTTTTACTACGAACAGAGCTTCCTGCAGCTATTTTTATTACTAACCATAATAATTATACATTTCGAACTGAATTAAATCATTTCTTCATTTAAAATTATTAATAAATTATGTTTTTTTTTAAAACAAGCAAATATATAAATTGTGATTCTTTCACATTCTTTCCCAGAGTTGCTGAGGAAGGTAGAGTCTATATTTGCTTGTGTGTGAGGTTCGGCAGCTCAGACATACTGAAGAAAAGATCTACCATCATCCTATTGTTGTTAAGACCCACTTGTTTTAAAAGCAAAAAATAATCATTCATACGTGCCTATCTGTTGGTTTGTAAACTTAAAGAATAACTCTCAAGAAAATTACTGAAAAGAGCAGATTTAAAGGTTTAATGTATGAAATTGAGAGGGTTAATCTGTTTTTTTTTTGTTCTTTAAAATAAAATAACTTAAAATGGCCAACTAATTTAGATTCCTGACATTCTATTTGATTCTATAGTACATATTTTCTACAGTATTTATTTTAATAGGATGTGGCCAATCTGTCTGGGGTTTTATCATAAAAGCAAAACCATGGAGATTTTACTGATTACTGGTAGAATGCATCTTCTGAAGCTTCTGAAGATCCTGAATCTATATATTGTACATTCAATACACATATGGAAACATAAATACATCCACTACCACACTGACTTAATCCCAGATAATTTAATTTGAATGTAAGACTCAAATTACAACTATTTATTCAACATAAATCTGCAAAACTTACATCAATTTGTTCTGAAATATTTTGAACTATCTTTCTAAAACAGTTAAAACCATATATTTATATTATGTCCTTTACTTCTGGTTTAATCAACAATTATTTGTTATTAACTACGTAATATATTTTTATTGCAAAACCTTTGCACAATTCACTCCCTGTCAACTAGTTCAACATGATAAAAGTCACAGTTCTGTCTGTTAACACTGATCTGTATCTCTGGTCCTTCCACATAACTGCCACACAGTCCTGATATTTCCTTGTTCTCAGTGCCTGTGTTGCAATTTTATAGTGATCCAACAGAAAACAGCCTCATAATTGCTTGCATATGTTGCACAATAATACAGAACAATTTTATAATTTAAAAATTAAATAGGCTAATATGCCTTCAAATTTACTTATTTTTTCATTTGAAAACATTTTATTTTGTATATTGCAAATAAACAAGTCTTTTTTAATTGAATAAATCAAAGCATACTTGCATAGCTGATCCTAAGACAATATTTAAGGTATTGTATATTTAATTCCAAACTGTATTTTTAAAAAAGTAATTAAATTAAAACTTTAATGTATATTGTTCAAGCCTGTTTATTAAAGCATATTGAGAAATAATGATAAAATACACTGAATGCTATAGACTAAGTCAGCTGTAGCTGTAGGCCTACTAATTTACTACTCTTAAGAGGCCAGAAAGCATTCTTGAAAATTAGGTCAGGCATCTTGATAATGCTCTATACAGCAACCATATCTGTGGTTGTAAAACCAAATTTATAGCACCCTCTACTGTGCTAACCCGTTTTTTCTACAGAAGCAGTTTCATTTCAAAGAATACCATAAATGGAACCAGTGAGGTTAACAGATCACAATTTCAGTTAACGTAAACCATGTGATATACACAAAGTAAACTGAAGCTCATTTAATTTTTACATAT